TGGCCACGTGACTGATCACGTGACCCTGAAAAGGTAAACATTAAGAAGGTTATACAAAAGATAAATATTAGGAAGATTATAATATAAAAGATAAACATTAGGAAGATTATATTAAAAACAAAATGGCGAACAACGCCCTAAGTCTCTCAAATTGCAGTAAAACAAAATGGCAGCCGGGTACACTCAGCCTCTTATAGAGGAGTGGGGAGAAAATGTGGAGGTCGAACGACCGACAAGGGTCTCGTTACGTCATGAAGAAGAAAACCTCGTATCAGAAAACAAGATGGCGGCCGGGCACACTCAGCCTCCGAGGTAAGAGTGGGGAGAAAATGTAGAGGTCGCACGATCGAAAAGGGGCGTGGCTAATTGTCACGTGCCGATCACGTGACTAAAAAGGGGCGTGGCTAGGTGGTTAAGATAGGGATAAGATAAAAGGGTGCGTGGCCTAAGGTTCACGTGACCGGCCACGTGGTGGTTAAGGCTGGCCGGAGGCCGACCACGTGGTGGTTAAGGCTGGCCGGGCGGCCGAAAAGGCAGCGTGCCGTTGTTCAAATTCAAATTCAAACCTCCCGCCAGGATGACGTCACTGAAATCCTGGCTTCTGATTGGCTGCCCTAAAAAGTGCGCCAGCTTCCCCATTATTTATCTACTACCATTAAAATACAACAAAAAAAAAGGCAACTAAATTTAGAAGATGCAATTTAGGGCTACTAGCAATCAATGATAAAACAATATGATATGTTAGAATTAAGTTACTTCCATGTATAGTGTGAAATTATAAAACTTAAGAGTTAACATTAATCAGATAACTGGTGTAATGTCCTCTCCTGGATCCTTAAGAGTTAACATTAATCAGATAACTGGTGTAATGTCCTCTTCTGGATCCGCTAGTACTGGTCCTGATAATTATTTCTTTTATACCATATTAGAAAGTTCGTCTTTCATTCATTAGAAAATTCTTCGACCATATATTTCTCTTTTCTTTAAATAAGTGTTGTCACTTTTTTCGGAAATTTTTTCACCATCTAAGGGAGGGCGTGTCCCTGGCAGAATTCGCTAGTTCTGGTCACAATAATATATATTTTTTATATTACATTAGGAAATTCATGTATGAGGATGAATTCTTTCTTTCTTTCCCATATTACACCAGATGATCTTCTTAAATAAGTCCCATACCAATGAATACGGTCCCGACAACATCCCAGTCAGACTGATTAAAGCCGCATTGCAATCCATCCTTCCGATCCTTTATCATATATACAATTATTCTCTTCAAAATGCTACCTTTCATACATCCTGGAAAACCGCCCTAGTACGCCCATTGAAGAAGACTTCAAACCCATCAGCTCCTAATGATTTCCGACCGATTTCCCTTCTTTCAAACCTCTCAAAACCATTAGAGCGGTTAGTCCAATCCCAGCTATCCCATTTTTTAGAGGACAATAATCTCCTAAATCCCTACCAGTCCAGTTTCAGGCCTGGTTATTCCACTCAGTCTGCCCTAATCAAAATTTCCCAAGACCTTCACACAGCCATAGATCAGCAGAAACTAACCATCCTTATTCTCCTAGACTTCCCCAAAGCTTTTGATTCAGTAGACCACAACATCCTCCTAACCAAACTTAAAAATATCTCTTTTTCTTCTAGTTCCCTTAATTGGTTCCAATCCTTCCTTACCGGTCGCTCCCAGTACGTTGTAATTCCTAATAACCCACCATCAGAATCTCTACCTCTGACCAGAAGGGTCCCATAAGGCTCTTCCTTATCCCCCACCCTTTTCTCCATCTATATAAATGACCTCCCATCCTCTATCCTGCACTGTCAATACCACCTGTACGCCGACGACATTCAAATTTACCTCTCCTTTAATCCGACAAATATCTCAGATGCCACTCTAAAACTTCAGGAAGACATTGACAGAATAAGTGCTTGGGCAAACCTCAATAGACTCACTCTGAACGCCGAGAAGACAAAAGCCATCTTGTTCAGATCCCCTTCACTCCTCAAATCCTCCCCGGTATCTCCCAATCTCATCCTGAACTACTCACCTATCTTAGCTAGAGGCCTCCCTTTAAATAAAATTGTCGGTAGCTCCTTGTCTAATAGCGGAATATTGTGAGAACAGATTTTGTCATGAGTAGATAGCTAGTCGTTCTTTTTTGGATATAACTGATTCAGCATGTCCTCGATTAGATTCGTAATTTTTCAAATTGTAAGATTTATGTTGAATTCTCGAGCTAACATATTATTAGAGTCTTCAGTCTCTAGTCGGCAACATATATAGACTTTTTCTTATATCTGGAATTTTTTGCTCTGCGTTATTCTCATTGAACTACTAAAAGGAAAAATGAATTTAACACTAAGAGTGAGAATGAAAATTGGTCCTATAAATGTGATTCGTACATAGAGAACAAATGAAATAAAACATTTCCTCGATAAGTGAGATATAAACACGAAGGTTTTTAGAAGTTCAAATGTCGCTATATACGATAATTTTTTCTAAAATTTCTAAGAAATCGAGTCAGTAAATCCAATCGTTATATCCATTCAAAATCACATCATAAAAGCCATCTGAATCATCGAACATAGCGTTTTCGTCGTTAAAGCCGATACCTGGTTATAACCATAATATAGGATATTGTAATTCGAAGAAATTTTACTGTAAGCTGCAGCCTTGATTATTATAAGTCCTTCAATATTATTATAAACTATAAAACCACATCGCTATTCCTACTTAGTAAAAATCGTATTTCAATAAATAGTTTTTTACGTTCTCCCATTAATTGATCGAGAGATAAATAAATTGAAATTACAAATTATTATTAATTTCACACATTAATTATCAATATTAAAAATACAATTGAAAGACCACGATATCGGTCGATACGGCAAAAGTCACAAGAAATGATACGTCCAATGCAGGCTATGTATGACGCCAATGATGATCTTTTATGTGAGTTTTTTTTTTAATATTCAGTTTTGAACTCTGCAGCAACCAGAAATTTAGTTTAGAGATATCCAATTGTCGATTAGTAGTATTGTTGAAAGCTTCGATTTTACAGATAGTTCAGGAACGGTTGAGTTGACTTCTGATTTTTAACTGTATGTTTAATATTGGGGAACGATAGATACCTTTATATTATTTGAATTATATTTTTATTTAAAGCAGATGACAACGATCGTAGCAATTCATTGCTTGGCAAGCACCTGTACGTCCTGGAGAAGATATCAAGCTACTAAAATACAAAATGGCGGACATGTGAAGATAGAAGAGACCTTACATGAGTTGCACGCGTGTATATATATATATATATATATATATATATATATATATATATATATATATATATATAGAGAGAGAGAGAGAGAGAGAGAGAGCTTATTGATATATAAAGCTACCAACACTTTCAATTTATATTATTTACAGTATTAAGACCTGAAATAAAAGTCAGTTAGCCCACACTCGTAGATTTCAAGTCGAAAAATTGAATTTACGATTAAAAAAGTTTACTTTTATCGGTTTTTCGCTTATATCAGTAAAACTATCCGCTTTATCTATAATAGTGTGTTATGTGAAATTAAAGCTGACAAAATTTGCAGTATAAATGGTTATATTAGTTTATTCGATAGTTCCGAGAAAAAGAAAATAATTTTTGCATTTCATTTTTATCATTATTTGTCTCGCCAACTCTTTATCTTTTTGTTTTATAAAGTTGTTTAATATTAAATTTTCTTTAAGAATATATATTATTTTACGATCTTATCTTCAACAATTCAAAGGCTTGAGCAATTATAATTTAATGATTAAATTTCTAAACTATACAGAAAAAAGTTTTCTCATCAGGCCTGTTGATATGATCAATTTATAAGGACAAAGCTTAGTATGAAATATAATACATTTTTTACCACGGGCTCCCGTACTATTATAAGAGATTGTACAAACCTGAAACGTCTCAGTTTTTTTATTTGGGTCCACCCTTTCGACATTGAGACTGTAGGAAGCTTTTCCTTGAGACGGTGGAAGGTGGTGATGTTTAAAATTCCCTGGGCACCAGAACGCGAACTCATAATTATTTTATCATGTAAACTTCAGTTTATAAGGTTGCCGGGAAACGTGTGTTCTACACATCTTTATTCAATGAATGCCCGAAAAGGGGATAATAGAAAGAAGTGGCGGAGACCCAAATTTATTTTTTCTTCAAAATTCGCCATAGTTGAAGATAGATATCTCGCTAACTAAGCGAGGTAGCGAAAAAATGTATAGAATCAATCATATTGTTAATTTTATCAGCTTTAATTTTGTATAAAGTATACCAATTTACTTATTTTATTTTTATTTTTCTTTATTATTGATATTAATTGTATGTACATATTGTGTGAATGAATCATGTAGCCTTAATATTAATGCCTTTCAATGTAGCAGAATGTATTAATATTCAATAAAGAAAGTAAAAAAAAAAAAAAATTTTGTATAGACCGTCTTTTTTTTTTTTTTGTTCTTCCCTACCTCGCCGTTTAGGCTATATGGGATTTTCCCGGGCCGGAGGGTGGGGGCGGGGAATTTAAAATCCCCTCTGGCACCGGGATGCGATCTCGTACTTTTCTTGTCTCTCAAATCTTCATATATCGGGTTGCCAGGCGATTCGCGCTTTAGCCTATTCGGCCACCCCGCCCCGTATAGACCGTCTTTGTCGACGAGATGGATAGTTCCCCTGATATAAGTGAAACCCCGAAAAAAGTGACCTTCTAGGGACTTCCTCTCTCCCTCCCCCCCCCCCACCTGCTTTACCACCTAGGATTGGGGACTTTTAGTGTTTTTATTTCTTTGCTAGTCAAACAATCTACCAAAGCCAAAAATTGTGTCCCTGCCATTTCCTTTTGTAATCATTCATTGACTGAACTACTCGGCCATCTCGCCTCACAGTCGGTATCGTATGGATAATTATTGTTCTGTTTGTGAAAATAAAAAAACTAAATTGCCTTTCATTAAAATAAGAATAGCCGTAGCTCAGTTTATTTCATAATAGATAAAAGCATCAAGTATCAACTTTTACATTTTCTTACTTTATGAAAATAAAGTGCTTAAAGTATTTAGTAAATAGGCGACAAAAATAAATTAATTAAGGTCAATTTTCAAAAATAAAAAAAAATCCTAATCATGTTTAAAAACTGCTTCCTCTTGAACATTATATTTGTTTTTTAAAAGACTGAACAGACTTTTTTTACTCAATCTTTCAATTTTCAATCATGTATGATAAATTAATTAGTTATAATATATATATATATATAATAGTTAGAATATATATATATAGTAATAAATTAATTAGTTATAAACTATATATAGTTTAACATTTGTGTCTCTTGACATATTGGTCAGGGAAAACTTTCATTAAACAGGGAAAAGTCAGAGAATTTTACTCTGACAATTTGGTAGCCACCCTGATGTTGTAACAAAGCCCCTATACCCTTTTTTGAAACGTCAGTAGATAGTATTAATAGTAATGTCTTGTCATAATGTACCAATGTTTTATCTGCAGTAATACTTTCTTTAATGCTCGAAATAATTTGTTCTTCCTCCAATGTCCATTTCCACTTTTGTAATAATTTGTGCAGAGGAGCACATCTCCCTTGCAAATCTGGAATAAATCTTGAATAGTAATTTAGAGAGCATAATCGAGAACGCAGTTCTTTAATATTCTTTGGAGATGCTATTTCATTTAGAGCCGCAATCCCTTCATGAGACGGTTGAATCCCATTAGTGTTGATTCTGTGGCCAAGGTATTTAATTTCTTTTTCGAACAGCCTTACTTTAAAGCTATGGACTTCTAACGCAACTTGATTTTGAAGAATAGGATCAATGTATCTAAAAAAGATATTGAACGTGGTATTTATTTATAAATTATAAATTGGTTTTATAAATTAATTTTATTGTTTACTAAGGAATTTGACCTCCAACCACAGAATATACAGTTAGCAGCTTACGTCAGTTTCATATTTAAGGTTACAAAGCTTTAGAAGAGGCTGGTCTAACCATTACATAAGAAACAATACCTAAATTGTATATACTGTTGTCATGCCATATTAGTTGTTGATTTTAATAAAAATAAATTTTAAAATTTGTTACTAAGCAGTTGTATTTGGCAAAACTATATATATGTGGTCTATATATAGACCTTGTTGATATAAAGATTATTCAATTACACACTGATGTAACAAATTGCTCGTTTCATTAAATCATTCATTCATTAAATCCAAACAGAAGAACTTTGTTAAAACCACTCACTCATTGGCCAATCTTGTTGCTTTCATTTCATAGTTTATATCTATCCATTCTTAATTACTATTGACAAGTTACGACGGAAAATTATTTCAAATGAACATAATTAATAGTATGCTATTTCGGAAATTCGGCATATAAGCCCTCTCACTAATTAAATGAGGTTAGATCCAATATCAAGGAATATTTAATTTTATGAGTTCATTTAAAAATTTTTAGAGCCATTTTGAGAACTTCATAAACATGTATAAAATCGAAATGTCACTTTGGATTAGTCAGTATTAGCAAAAACATTGCAGTTCGGTTTTGTAAATCCTTTTGTGTTTGAGCTCGATAGTTTTCATACATACACATGTGTAGGCACTCGTACCAATTTGTAAGACTTTCTTATTTAGATTCAGGAGACCTCAACTCAAAACATGTATTGCCTACAAAAACTGAAATTCAAAATTTTTCTGGATCGAAATACTATTCGTTACTATGTATTTCATTTACCATTGTTTATATATGTAAATACATAAAACGATGTCTTGTGTATTTTATACTAATTAAAATGATGAAATTTGCCTCAAATCAAATATTCAAATTGTCTTCCCTTTATTCATCATTTGATTCACTGCTAATATAGACATAGTAGTTCCTACAAGATAGGACAGAGATTTATTTTTAAAAAAAATTAGTTTTTAATGTCGTCTGTGGCTCACGCACATAACAAAATACTTTTCTTCAATTATATACATTTTTAAAAGTTTCAATCAAAGTGGTTTTAAATTAGACTTCAATAATCTTAATTAAATAATAAATACAGATATTATTTCACTAAGAATTTATGTACTTATTAATTACAAAATATTTTTATGACAGACAACATCTGCCATTAACTTTTTACAAACATTTACAATTCTATGTACACATATTTTGATTAAGAACAATAAAAATTAACTAGATGTAATACATTTATGAACAGAAATATAATTATTCATATTTTAAATAAATATCAAAATGATCTTATTGTTTTAGGGTAACAAGTACTCTTCTACAAAATCCTCAAAACTAAGTATTCTAAACTAAAAAATGCAATTTTATCACTTTGTTTTACATTTATATGAAGGGTAATGTTCATAGTAATTTATTGAACATAATAGTTTGTGAATCTCATAAAAGATTGATATTTTAAGTAATATTTTTAAAATATTGGTTAGTCACTCCTGATTGTTAAAAATAGTTAAACAATAAGTATTTTACGCACTAAGAAAAAAGAAAAAGAAAGAAAGAAAATGCAATCTTGAAATATCTCTTTAAAAGATATACAGCTCACTTTCTAATTGACAAATTCAGGAATTCAGATACATTAATGAAATACAAAGTATTAGAGATTTAATACTTGATAAAAAATCATAACACAAATTTAAAATAAAGATTTTTTTTAAAAAGAAAAATAAGGCATGACTGGTATCTACATTTAAAAAGAGTATTGGTAGATAAGGTAAGAAGAAAACATTAGTATTAAAAGAAAAAAAATCATAATCTACGAAGAAGGCGCTGACTTCCGTTTCTGTGATCGCAGCGTATTACCCATTGGGCTCTTGGATTGTTCTGGTACACGGCCCATAATTTCACGCTTGGCTCTAATCTTCTTTGACCTGTTTACAAAAATCAACAAAGTAATTTATTGTATATAAAAGAAACTTACTTTGTTTATCATTAAATTAAAGTTAATCAAGTTATGAGTATTCGTCTTGTAAACCACTGTAGCTTGTGGTAAACCACCATAAAAATATATGATTAAATTAAATCATATGCTCTTCCAAGTACTTAGTAAAGACACGTTTCCAGAAGAAAAGGGGCATAACTCAAAAAATGTTATTTATAAGAGAGAACTACAATAATGTTGCACGGCTGCTCAACTGTGTTGAGTTGCTAAACCAAATGGCATACTAATTAATCAACAGACAATATTGAAAAATATTAAAAGAGAGTTACGTCGTACCACTGGAAAACATAACAAATATGCCAAGAACGGTTCACAGAATCAAACAAATGAAGACCAAGATCAATATACGTGCTGATGGAGAATTCTCGAGTCTATAATAGTAATTTCTACCATGGTCTGTGTCTGCTCCATTCCAACACGGAGCCTCTGCATGAAATTATTTGTATTAAGAGGGATGCTTCCTCTGCTTCAGAACCATAGCTCTTTAATTGAGAATTCTCTCTCGCTGAATTCATCTCTATAATTTTTCTTCAGGTAAGGTATGAATTTTGTATAAATTTCCTCTTTTTCCGCCTCTACCTTGAAGTCCTAATCCTCATCATTCGTTTCAAATCTAACTGTAGGATTCACCATTAGTGCCTCCTTTTCTGTTTCATTGAATGCTAAAATGTCAATGAACCTTGTTAAGCCTTCTGTATCCAGGCAATAAACTTCGAGAAAACATTTATAGTTTTTCTTTTCAAGGAATTCGGCTTGTAGTAGATACCCTCCAGTATTTACTCCATTATGTGAAATTGTGTGAGGGAATGAGAAGGAATATATTGGAATATGATATTGCACTATGAATTGTAATCAATTGTGCAGAGGACAAATTATTCATTGAAAAGTCTGATATCGATTAACAATTGACGAAGGAGGAAGAGGTTGGAATAGGACGAGCAGGTAGCAACAGATGGCGAAGGATGCGGGAGAGAAGAGAACTCACTCTAGTCCGGGATAGGAAGAAATGAGGTTACCTGAGAAGAGAAGCCTACTACACTGAAGACTAAGAATATCAAGCCTACAGTTATAAGACTTTAATATATTCACTTATTACAGTTGTCCCATAGGCCTCACAATTGAAGAAGAGTAACAAAGCAGGTGAGTCAATTTATTGAAAGTGAGTATACTCAGTCCCACATTATATATATGTATTCTTATTGTTTCTTGCCACTCAGTGTCACAAAAGTATTAAGTTTCTGAATTCCCAACAACATTTAAACTACCTCAAAAAGTCTATATCCAATGACGGTTTTTTTTTTAAAGAAAATGAAATTCACGAGTGTAAATAACCTAGTTCCCCGATAAACGGAAGAATATTCACTATTCCCGCCAAAAAGAATATTTACAATTAATACTCTTATTAGGTTATTTACAATTGGCGCCGAACATGTTATTTACAGGCTATATGATGATTTATATTATTGTGCCAGTGGGTGACAAGGACCATGTTATGCGGACAATTGCCCAACACTTGAGCTGAGGTTTCTGACTCTTAGCCACATTTGGGGCAAAGGAGGCCAACATCTCCGCTAACCTGGCTTCCGGCCCCTGGTACTCCACGGCAGAGGAGCACAATGAACATTTAATTTCATGGCATTCGTCTATTCTGAGCCAGGGAGAACTTTTCTATCATAAATGAATTTATTGGTCCATGGATTAGATTTAAAATGAGAAACACCAATTCCCTGCCACTTGCATTTGCTCCACACTTCAAAGGACTTTCCCCTCACAGACTGTCTCACCTTCCTAATTGTTAGTGATGGTTCCAAATTACTTGCTTCGATCTCTAGCAAATTAGCACACATTCTTATTTCATGCGCGAAACCAAAAATTGCCTGAAACAGGGCATCTGTTACATTGGCCAGTGCTGAAGAGGAGCCTCCCATTGGCACCACAAAAGACCCAAGCCACTGTATCGCCGCGGTGCATTTATCATCACTGAGCAAGTGTTGGCCAGTAAACATACCAAATCAAATGATTGGCTTTAGTAAATTGGAACTTATCAATTTTTCTGTATTTCTAGACACTTTCACCACAGAACCCTCATCAAACTCTAGCTCCCCAGAGAACTGACACCCAAGGTATTTAATAGTGTCACCCTTTTCAATGGAGCTGATTACCTCTCAGGTACCCAAACAAAATCTTGATTTTACTAAGTTTCCCTTTTCTAAGATGATTGAGTGAGAAATTTTTTATTAAATATGTATAAATTATAAATTTCCAAAAATACACAGAACATTTATACGGGATGATTATTCGTCTGCCAAAAATTTTATATGTTTTACAGGTACAGCACCAATAAAGACTTTATAACAATTACATATACATGAATAACTGATAAATAATAAAACAAATAATACAATATAAAATAATAAATATTTTGAATAATTTATGTCTAAGAAATAATAATAAAGGAAAATCATAAACACTAACATGAATAAAACTGACCACAAATAAATTAGATGGATCAGATAGATAGATAGATAGATGTTTGGTTGGCCCAGAAATACCCCAAACTACATAGTCCACCTCGAAACAGGAAGAGAACCATTAAGAATGAAAGTAATAAAAAAGATGATAAATCTATGGACCAAGCTCGAGTTCATGACAGAAGAGCGACTCCCAAAACTTTGTTTTAATAGACTTAAAACATTAGATAAGGATAAGCCTGAAATAGACTTCAATTGGGTGTCTCAATTTAGAGCAATAGCCGAGTTTAATGCCTTTGCAGAAGAGCTTTCTGTTCACCCCACAAACGGACTTCTTCGATACAAAGACGACATCCTTGAAAAAGCACACAACTATTATTTCTCAGCTGACATACAAAGAACTTTAAACTCCACTAACTACCCTTTATACAGAACGCTATGCAGTTACAATGCTCCCGATCCTGAAACGTATCTTACATTCAAAGTCCACATAAAGAAATTGAGATGTGTTAGTCAATTAAGAGTTGCAAACCCAGAACACATCAGAATCCATGCAAAAAACAGAACATTTTCAATTGAGTCTCAAGAAACCTGTATTTCATGCAGCCAATTTATCTACAATAGTCCACATTACATTCTCCTTCACTGCCCAGCATACAATGACTATAGACAAAAATTCCTTCAAAACTTCATCTCAGAATCTTCTGATAACTGCAACGTCGAATCCATACTGAATATCAATTGTATAGATAAAGTAAACAAATTTTACTATTATATGATGGGAGTACACAAAGTTCATTCACAAAATTGTTGATCATAGCCATGTTCTATTAAGCGTTTGTTTTTAGTTTATCTTAAGAGTAATATTTTGTTTATATTTATAAATATTTTTATTTTGTATTGTTTCTATCATACTAACTGGTTCATATAACCAATATTATGCAGTAATCGTTTTATATTTTTAATTTTTATTGTTATTCATGTTTTGTGAAAACCATTCTAAACGTTAAATATTGTAAATTTTATTTATATTTAAATTATATGTATGTAAATTTGTAAAACCATATTATTTGTATGCTCTATTTGTATGGGGAATCCCCTTAAAACAAATAAAATATCTATCTATCTATTGGATGCAACAAAACCGACAATTTTACTACATTCGTTCACAGAGGGGACATTTAGAAGAGGAATTAGGATATTATTTCGAACCGGGCTAGTTCCTAGATATTCTATACGAATTTGACCAAGCATTGAACATTCAGCCAAAAAATGGAACAGGTCCTCCTTTACTGGTAGGTTACAGAGCGGACAATCCGTATATTTCCTGTCAAGCCACGGGATGAAATTCAAATAAAGGAGTTCACACCTGAACTTGAACAACCAACTCAATTCGTGGCCAGTCAAATCCCAACAGCAGCCATCCATGAATTTCAAAATTTTAAGACCATGACTCAATTCCCTAAACAATAGAAATCGATTAGAATACAATGCCAGTAATTTACACTGCTCTCAATGTAGCTGAGTGATTGCAGACCGTATTGTTGTTAACTGGTCTTTTCACAATGAAAAGCATTCCAAAGACCTGTCGAACCTGCAATAGTATCTTTTTACCAAATTGCACCAATTTTTAAACCAAAAGGTATTATGGTTAATCACTTCAATGGCGATAACTCTGGAGAGACGACTTTCAGGAAGGCACACTAACTTAAGACAATACTTAAAATGCAACTGTAAAATGAATACCTCAAGTGGATTTGGGGCTGTTTCTAAATAAATCATATTACCTTTTCTAAGATGATTCCGAATAATTTTCTGATAATAAATTCCGAATAATAAATTTTTAAAATTCATAAAATGATATATAAATATAAATCAATATTCTGTGATAGTAGAACTCCTCTATTGTCAGACCTGAGAGGATTAAAGAAATCAATACAAATTAACTGTTGAATTCAATATAAGATGCTCACCTATGTTGCCCCCGACTTCATATAGAAAATGGGTCCTCAGTGCTGTGTCAGGATCACCAGTGCTGAGTAAACAGCTGAGGTTTCCGTTCGGAGCGAGTTCTGATAGGGCTCGAGACTTCATTTCCCTTCTTGTTGACTTGACAAGGCGTGGGGCATCTCTAGCTAGTTCGACAGCTCTGTGAAATTATTTAAACCAAATTATTGAAGGAATTTAGTCGATTGTTCTACATATCATGGGTGATAAATATTCAGGACACAGTCATTATAAAGTTTTTATTGGTGCTGACGTTTCAACCCAAACATGTGGGTCATCATCAGGGCATGTTTAGGTTGAAACTTCGGCACCGATAAGGACTGCGTTCTGAATATTTATCACCCATTTAAACTAAATTAATTACGTAATAAGGGCACCATTAAAATAAGAAAGGAGTTTAGTTATTGGCTGAAATTACTGGCCTGTTGTTGAAAGCAATATTTGGACAATTGGGAAAATGATAAGTCACAGAATATGGCCTACCATATGGCCTATTCTCCTGGGAAGGGCCAATTACAGTTGTGATAATTTTGCATATTATTAGCTATTATTCCAAAAAATATAAATATATATATAAGAATGCTCTTTTATCATATTTGATTTACACATTTTATATATAAATTTATTTACTATAACTGCATAGTATATCAGTAAATATACTACACACATTTAAATATGTATAATATATATACATATATACCTTTTTGTTTTTGTATAGCCTATTTTTACAAGTATTGGGACCACCGGTATTGCGAAATAGGGCCAGGATTCGATCCTATGATCTTTGCTTTACTAGTATAGCGCGCTAACCACTCTGCTATACCGGCCCCACATATATACATAATATGTAATATATAAATATATCGGGTATGTGAATAAGTTTTCAGCATGTTTTATCTAAAGAATTTTCATTTACCTACATGCATCTGGCAACATACTTCTTTTTTCTTTTTTTTTTTTGTTCTCCCTTTCCTCACCTTTTAAGCTATATGGGGCTTTTAATGGGCCAACGGGTGATGGTGGGGGATTAATACCAGTGTTAAAAGACTCCCCCCCCCAGCACCCGGGACGCAGACTCGTAATTATTTTGTTGTTTGTATCTTGATTATCAGGATGCCTGGCAACACGAGGTGCTGTCCACATGCGGCAACCCCACCTTTATGCATCTGGCATACAATACATGGAAAACAACTTTATTCGAGTGCTAATCCTCTGTACTCAGGTTATAAGCTTATTGTTAATTCTCAAAGTGTATACAAAATTTTTTATATATCTTCTAGCATGGCAAATTTATTCTCCTCAAAACCATTTATGCAGGAAATTTTATTACATTATTTTTTACAAAAGAAAACTGCAGCTGAAGGGCATGGAGTTCTTTTGGAAACTTATGGCAATCATGCAGAGAATGGTTTTAATGCTTTAAAAAACAATGATTTTTAACTTGGAGATGATGACCATCCAAGTGCCCCAAAAAAGTTAGAAAGTGAAGAATTGGAGAATATACTAGGTGAAATCGATGCCAGACTCAAGAAAACCTCGAGAATCACTGGGAGTTGATGGGACAACATTTGCTAAATGTTTGAAAGCTTTTTGAATGGTTTAAAAGCAAAGAAATTGGGTACAATATCAATTGAAGGAAAGGGATGTTGAACTGCGTTTATTCACTTATGAACAGCTTCAACAAGAAAAAATGAAAAGATTTCCTGCATCATATTGTAACTGGTGTTGAAAAATGGATATATATTGGCTATAACAAGCCAAAGCAAAAAAAATTGAGGAGACAATCCAGGCATGCCTTACGTTAACAGCAGAGCCGAGCATTCATGGTTCCAAACTTAAGCTTTGCATTTGGTGTCATTTATTACAATCTGCTTCAGCCCAATGTAACCATCACAGGAGATCACTATAAATATAAATAAACTACAATAAATGCATTTGCCTAAAGCAAAAGCAGCCACAAAACATGAAGAGACACGATAAGGTTAGGAGAAAAAAATTTAATTTATTTCTATATTTTAATTAAAGCAACAGAATGAATCACAATAAAACAATTGAGCTGCCTCAGAAATAATATAATATAAATAAAAACAGGTAGCACTTTTAGATCGCACTGAAAACATCAGAGTAAGTATACCCTCCATAATTTAAAAACAGAGATACTTATGGCAACTGTTAGAACTCATTTGATTTTTTTAAAATTGTCAATAGAACTGAAAGTATTAACTAGTGTAAATATGCTACATACAGTTTTAAATTATATTTGTTATTCTAGTGGTAATGAATGTATGGTTGGTAGTGATGAAGAAGGGTGTGTTGATGACCTGGAGCCACTGTCTATAGAAGAGGTGGCTGAGGCGATTGAAAAATTAAAAAATAACAAAGCACCTGGAGAGGATATGCTGGTCGCAGAATTCTTTATGTATGGAGGAGAAGAATTGATAAGCCAGATGCATTTACTGTTGGAGGAAGTTTGGAGTGGTGAATTCATGCCTCAGGAGTGGTGCACCAGTCTTATATGCCCGATACATAAAAAAGGAGATAAACTCCAATGCAAGAATTATAGGAGCATTTCTCTATTGGCTGGAGACTATACAATTTTTTCTAACATCCTCTCTCTGAGGCTCAACATATTTGCTGAGAACATACTGGAGGAAAACCAGTGTGGATTTTGGAAGGGGAGAGCAACAACTAATCAGGTCTTTGTGATGAGACAGATAATGCAAAAAGCCTGGGTATATAAGATTGACCTGCATATGTTATTCATAGATTACCGGCAAGCTTTCGATAGAGTGATAAGAAGCAAATTAATAAATTTTTTCGATCATCGCTTCTGTCACGAGAAACAAAGATAAGACTATATAAGACTTTAGTAAGACCTATTGTGACATATGCAGTGGAGACATGGGCCATTTGTACTAGCACAATTAGTATGCTGAATATTTTTGAAAGAAAAATTTATGAAGCTGTTTGTGAAAAGGGTGTGTGGAGAGTAGAGAAAAAATGCGGGGCTATATGAATTATATAATAGCGCCAACATAGTTAATTTCGTTAAAATTGGCGTATGGAATAATTAGGCAATGTAGTTGGAATGGACCACAGCATGATGCCTTATAGGACATCGTTCTCCACAATGTATGGCACAAAAAGAAAGGGAAGACCAAGGAAAAGATGGCTACAAGATATTGAGAACCTTAGAACACTGGGCATGAGGAACTGTAAGGAAAGAGAGAGCAATAGAGATGATTGGCATGCTATAATTCAGGAAGCCAAGGCCCACCCTGGGCTGTAGAGCTACATAGTAAGTAAGTAAGGATTTGTTATTCTAGATTGAATAATTTCGGAATCTTCTTAATTTACCTTATCAGCTTTGAAAATACTGAAGGCAAATAATTTAATATTATTTTAAATATTCAAAACATCGTTTAGGGGAGAGTGAGTGAATGAAAAATTATATATATTAAAAAGTTGTTTTTTCTCAAATCTTTATAATTCAGCCATTTTCTGTTGTCCACAATTACTCTACTAATCATATCTTTATTCTGTAACAAATCTCTGACATAATCTATTGTCAGAAAAACCACTAAAATAAGGATTCACAATTTCTAGGAGAATGATTATTATATTACTTAAATTTTGAATTAAAATTTTAATAAAAAATAAATTGAAAATACCTGAGAATGACATGAGCAGCTGTGATGTGTTTGTCCAAAGATATTGGCAATGGAGCGACAAGGAACTGCGGAGAATCGACATGGATGATGTTGCTTTCGAATTCCGACTCACCTGCAGCCTTCCTTGAAGCCACATGACCCTTCCGAGCCAATAGTCGAGGCTTCTGTAAACAGTTACAATGTTTAATGGTGTTATTGAGAATACTGTAAATATTATAATTACATTCAAGATGTACTACACAATTATTTACTAATATTTGAGTCACTGGAGGCTTTGTTTTGAGGTTTTTAAATTATACTATAGTATTTATTGTCTCTTTATATTTCTAATGAGAAAATGAAAAAGGTTAATCAGTGACTCACCGGCTTGTTCTCTTTGTGACTCTCATTGATAGACCTGAGCTGAGCGACCAAGTTGTCGGGAACAAGCCAGAGGCGATCAGTGGCTGTGATGAGCAGCTCCGTGAGCGAGCAGCAGTGCACCGCCAACCCTAGCTCGGCCTTCAAGCCCGCCTTATCGACCAGGATACTGCAAGCAAGGATCATTATTCCAACGATAAAATCTTTAAACAATATAATCAATATTAAATAAAGCTCAAATCTCAACGGAAAGTATATTCTGCCAGAACAAAATTTATAAAAACATTAAAATGATAATGAGATTTTGTATAGTCAGAATTTTAGTCAACATTTTTTTATTCTAATTGCCAAACTTCCAACCAAAGCATATGGGTCGGTAATCATCAGGAATAAAAATTACAACAGAAATATAAGATAAAGACAAAAGTCTATAAATGTAGAGAATAAGATAAATAGTAAAGAAGAGAAGAATAGTTGGGGTGGTCAGTCAAAAAAGAAGGCAAAAATAAAGGATAATATTTATTTTTATTCTTCTCTTCATTATCCACGACAGTCAACCATTTACCAATTTTGATAAATAGTAAAATTAAAAAACATATTATTAACCCGTTAAAAGTTAATTGTAAATGATTTGTTTTGACGAGAATTGCGAATAGCCTTCTGTTTAGTCGGGGAACTAGGTTATTTACACTCGTGAATATTAAAACAAAACCCCGGCACTGGATATAGACTTTTTGAGGGTGTTTAACTGTTGTTGGGAATTCGGGAACCTAATACTTTTGTGGCACTGAGTGAGAAGAAACAATAAGAATACATATATGAAATGTGGGACTTGGTAAATACACTTTGAATGAATTGACTCACCTGGTTTATTATTCTTCAATTGAGAGGCCTATAGGACAACTAAATAAATAAATGACTTTTCACTCCTGTCTAACAAAACAATTTATTTTTACAACTGTAATAAGTGAATCTATTAAAGTCTTATAACTTTAGGCTTGATCTTCTTAATCTTCAATTCAGTGTCTCTCTATTCTGACAATCTCCTCTCTTCCTGTCACAGCCACAAGTGCCTTCTCTTCTCTCCAGTGTCCTTCTCCAGCTGTTGCTACCTGCCCCGTCCTATTCCAACCTTCTTCCTCCATCGATTGTTTATCAATATGAGACTTTGAGTAAAATTCATCGTGCAATCTGACATTCCTATATATTCCTTCTCATTCCCCCACACAATGTCACAAAAAAGGAGTAAATACAGGGGGATCTCTAATACGAATTCTTGTTTATATAGTAAAATACATTTTTGCTTCCTCACTACCAATGGTAGGGAAGCATTGTATTCCTGCGATAGGTTAAAAAAAATTATGTGCTCAGAATCGAAAATTTTCACTTGCTTTTTACATTTTAGACACGAAGAATCAAATTTGATTCGGTGTCTGTCTGTAGTCAAATCGATGTAACGGGCATATCACCTACTAATGTTTATCTGATTTTCATGAAATTTTCAGGAATTGTGCAGGTGGGTTGGTGTCTGGAGGGTCCATATCAATTTCATCAAATTCTAACCAGCACTTCTGCTTACGCATTTTTGTAGAAATGCCAATATTTCAAAAATGGATCGTTTGATTTGGCTCAAAATTGGATAAAAAATAGTTATTTGTAAGAAAATAATATATGGTCAATTTTATTGAATTATGTCCATTGCTTTCTCTTATATATGCGCAAACATGTTTTCTTTCATACGTCTATATCTCTAAAACCGCAAGTTCGATTTGGCTCAAATTTGGAGGGAATTTAGGGATTGGTAAACGTAAAATGAAATAGGCATAAACTTTATCAAATTCTATCTAATACTCTAAAAAAAAAAATTCTTCTAGTTTTAAATCAGGAAATGTGTTATTTGATGTGCCTATAGTTTGAAAACGGTGCATTCGATTTGACACAAACTTGCAGGAAATTTGGAGAACAGTATAGAAATTCCTTAGTATTAATTTCATTGAATTTAATAACTAAAATTAATATAAATGATTATTAACAATACAATGACTGTGAAATGTGGAAGGCACTGATCATATGGATGGGAGTTAGGTTATTACAATATCGTTATGGGGTTATAAAATTTTAGGTTTTATTCACAAAATTAATTTATACTATATTGTTTGGCCGATTCCAAACGTTACTGCCATGACACTTACTGTGGTTAGTTAGATTTAGTGTAATTAAAATTAATTTTTAATCTGAATTTGTAAAAAAAAAAAGTTCTATTCGTGATTATGCTAATATCCATTGAACTTCAACCAGCTCATCGTGGTCTCGATTTTCTCCTTAAATATCAAAATTGTGCCAACTTCACTCATATTTTTATATTCCTGCTTAATTAGTTTTGTTCTGACTGAAGAAAAGTATTGGTCTCGTTAAGTCCGAACAAACAAAAAAGTTGAATCTTTCCTATGGATTTTTGTTCCATCCATTTTAAGAGTGAAAACATTCATATTATATATCACTACAGTTAGTGGTAAGGTCGTATGTAAAAGTTTTTAATTTTTATTCTATTTTTAACATTATGTAGTATGGAATTGATAAAAGTAGTCTACTACTATGAAAAATAGCAGAGAGCAATAAAATATAAAATTATACTAATAAATCATAAAGAAATAATTAGTTTTTATGCTCTCCTGTAAAACATTCAATTTTTACATATGTCATTTGCACTAAAAGTAGCGAGATGCATATTCAGTATGCACTGTTTTAATTTTTTTTTTATTTACTAATTATCAAATATGCAATCTGTAAATGCGGAACTTTTTTGCATTTTAGTATTTGCTGATAAACAAAATCGTGGTTATCAAGCCCGTATATGTTGAGGAATTACTAAATTTCCGAAAACGGCTTCTTCCAGAGATTTTATTCTCATAAGAACATTTTTAGACCTTTTAATATCCCTCCACAGTTGGAGGGACGTCTGATGTGGAGTTCTCTCGCCAGATTGTAAATATTGTATTTAGGTATGTATGTGTTCTTTTTATTTTATTTTTTTGGTTATTTTATTCTTATTTATTGTATATATATTATTTTTCTGTATAATTTATTTTATTTATTGTACATAGAGTGCGAATGTGATCTCTGAACACTAATATAAATGTCCTTGAGACAGATTGTAATATTTTTCAATAAATAAGTTTAAAAAAAAATAAAAAAGACCTTTTAATATAAATTTAATTTAACTTAATAGTAAATAAAAACGTTGAGGAAGCTATACTGACCTTACTTGGCAGACGTTTATTATTTGTACTGTTTATGTTTTTCTATTGGTGTGTCATTTTATTTATTATTATCTTGTGAGCACAATTTATCTTTCTTTCTTAACTTGTTTACGTACTGCTGTCTATATCTTATATTTATGAGATAATTCTTAATTGTTAGCTCTAATTCTTTTATTGAAACAACATTAACTAGACATTATCTAGATTTTTAAAAAATTAATTTATTCATTGAAATTTACAACTGTATTAGTTAACAAATACAATAAGTAAATTTGAATTAATAATATGACATGTACAACATGAAGAAAAACTATCCATTGTTAGCACTCCAATTATAGTTCTATATTAGAACCTATCCCGAGGCCATCTTCTACTCAGATGCCTTGGAGGGTCATCATATGGATAGATAGATAGATAGAAAAAAAAACTTTATTCTGGGACTAAGTCCCTTCAGAATAACAATAATGTACAAAATAATAGAATATTACTGGCCTGAACGTTGAAACAATAAATAAAATTGATAAAATAAAATAAAAAGTAAAGAAAACCTTAGGTGCACAAGCTATATACAAACAGATAAAACTATGTACAGAGCATTTAAAATTATGAACAAAACAATTAAAACTATGAACGAATCACTTGAACTATGAACAAAATTATATTTAAGGGTTGAACAACATAAACATACACTTTGAGAAATGAAGAACGAAAAAGAGATACAATGAGTTCATTTCATAAAAAAAAAAAAAAAAAAAAAAAAAACTTTACTTGAATATATATATAAAAATAAACAGTTACTTATAATTGAATAAAAAAAAAAAAAAAAAAAAATGTATGTATTGAAATTCCTACGTCGATAGTAGGAAATGCATGTACTATCTCTTACCAAGTGTTATGATTATATGATTGCTACACAATACATATATAATATCAATAGTTAGCTGGTATCAGACTGTTTTTGGAACAGGAATTGGAATAGGAGGTTTTTGAATGTATACAGGGAAGGGGCATGTCGAATTTTGATCGGGAGGGAATTCCAAAAGTTGACAGAGCGGGCTATAAAGGATAGATAAATAAATCCCAAAAAATGAATAATAGCATAAATAAATAAGTACTTACTCAGGAGGAAAGAGCGAAGGAGCCATTATCATAGCAATGTTCTGAGAGGACATCTTGTTGTGGTCGGAGTTGGCAGCGAGACTAGAAAGGAATGTGAGCAAAGCGTGGAGGGTCGCCCTGTGCTCGGTCGGAAGCAGCAGAACAAGGAGGTTCAGAGCCTTACTGCATTCATTGATACCTGAAAACATACATTATATTATATATGAAATGAATAACTATTAAATATATAACATGTTTATATTTATTTTTGCAGTTGCCTAATGCACTGGTCGGCAAACTCTGGCTTGTGAGCCACATGGCCCCTTGAGAGTGGCCTCTTGCTAAGTGCTGAACCTTCTTTACTGTTTTTTAAACTAATCTGTTTGTAACAATAAATTTTCCTAAGAATTCCATATGATGAGTATATTAGGACGATTATGTACATGCTGGTACAAAATTTATTCTCTACAGTTTTCACTTAATGAAGATATCATTAATAATGGTGTATAAGGCATTGTTTGAATCAATTATAAGATAGGAGATTGAATGCTATGGAGCCAGTGCAGATAGTCATTTATCCAAACTCTGTAAATTACGGAACAGGACATTGAAAACTATAATAGAAGAAAACTTCAAAATAGCTTGATCATTATCACCAAATTTATTTTACATATACAAAATAGCACTCAAATTCAAGGAGGATGACTCATTTAAAAATGAAATCAGCTACGTATACAATGTCAGAAACAAAACTAAGTACTTTGAATCTACATTTAACAATAGATTCAGGAATAGAACATTGAGCTACATGGTTCCCTATTGTTCACCTGAATACCAGAAGATCTGTTTGACAGACCTAACACTAAGGAAACTAAAAAAGAAATCTTTAATTGGATACATTACAGTTACTGCTATGGATTACAGTTGATCCTATGGATCAAATACTGTGATTTTTCTTTTTTCTTACCTTATTATATTATGTCTTTTTCTTCTACTAGTCCCTCCAATTATTGATGTACAGCATATAATCCTATGATTGTCACATATGTTCTGTTGCTCCTTCTAGTCAAGCTATTATTCTAATTGTTATTCACATATGCTTCTTTTCATATTTATATATAATCTTAAGTATCATTATTCCGTTATTTTCATTATAAATAGCATAAATAGTATAAATAGCAACAACACAAGTGGTGAACACGTTACCCAAAACAAAAACAACAGTTTTATTCCTTTGAGAAAGGTATTTTGTGATGATATTAATATATAAAGTGGATGAATGAAAGTAGATAGATAATAAGTTTAAAAGACGACTATGGATGGGAAAACTGGAAGTTACTGATCTGAGCGAACACAGCTCAATAAGATTAAGCACATTTTTAGCAGAAGCTAGCTTAGAAATACCCAGTTGCGATTTCTAGATTTAATTTTTGTGAGGGCAGATTATTTCCTTTTTTCATACTGGTAATTATTTTGTAAAAAAACAACAAGATAATTATTGTAACTAGAGACCGGATTTTCATGTTATTGCACAATTTATTAGCTTTTAAATACTCCGGGCAAAAATATCTATAACTTCAGGATTTGTAGAATAACATATGTAAATTTCGCACTGCAAGTTTTGCCGTTTTTGGCTTAAATTGTACGAGTTTGATTTTTATTGCATTAAATTGCACTTTAGTGATAAATCAGATTATTTACAAATAAAAATGTATATGCCTGTGTCGATATCTACCTTTTTATTTTACTATATTGTTCAAATTAAATTCATTATTCAAGATAAAAAAATAATAAGAGGAAGGTAAATATTTCTGTGACAAGCAAAAATTGAATTTTAACATTACAAAAGGAAGAAGTAAAAACTTGTAAAAAATATTTTTAATTTGCCTAAAGTATTGGATAATAAAAAGCTGCTTTCCTAGAATAAGCTGTTTTGTTGGTAAGACATCTATGGTTATTGTTTTGATTATTTTTCTGTTAATTATTGAGACATTATTCTTTAGGGAGAAAAAATAATGGATGTTTCATCCAAGTGTTTTGCATTTTATCTTGAAATTTTTGTTGCTAAATGATAGAAAAGGGTTTTAAGTAAATGTTAGATTTATCTAATCCTTATTATTGTTTTAATTTCTCTTTCTTAAAGATTTAGATTAATTTTAATTTATTGTTGTATTAAATTATATATTTTTGATGTTTGTTTATTATAATCTAGAATATAATTTTCAATGTTACATTTTAATTTTTCTTTATTTCTCATTTAACTCCAAATCTGATAAGATTTTGATGTATTTATATTATAAATTAAACAATATTGATGACTTTGCACATTTTTACGTATTTTTGGATTTTACTGTACGATTTCGCTCATACTGAGTTTTTTGCTGCACGTTTTTTGGATTTTTACTTCATGAAAATCTGGTCTCTAATTATAACAATACTGTTTTTATATTTTTTTCTTAACAATTTGTTACATTCAGTAGCTGTATTTGCTTAGTAAATTTAAAAGAAAATATATTATGCCAACCTCTGGCCTACTGCACAATGTAATTTTTACTTTTCTTCCATTTGCAATTAAGGAAATAACAGTCAAAAATATTAAAATTATGAGAACAAAATGGGCTGATCGCTTTATAATAATAATAATAAAAGGCTTAGCGAACACGAAGATTCGATGCCAACACCACCAATCGCTTATTACACACCTCCCTCTACCGTTCGCTGTCCTAACCCAGTCCCTTCAGATCGGCTTTAATGCAATCTTCCCACCTTCGCTTCGGTCTACCCCTCGGACGCTTACCATTCGGCACAGCAAATATTAACCTTTTAGGAATTCTCTCGTTACTAAGCCCAACAACTTTACAAACCCATTTGATTTGCCGTGATGAAATTACCTCAATTATATTACCCGGATACAGATCAAGCAGTTCGGTGTTGTGTAACCGTCTGAACTCTCCGGTTAACTCATCCTTCTTCGGTCCGAATATTCTACGCAATACTTTATTTTCAAAAACCCTAAGACGCTGCTCATCCCTTACTGTAAGCGGCCAAGTTTCGCATCCATAAAGAACTGTAGGCAAGATAATTGTTTTGTAGATTCTAATTTTTAAGTTCTGGGACAAGAGGCGCGAACTAAGTAGTTTTGTCACAGAAAAATAACAAGCATTTCCCGCCTTCAGTCTATCCTTAATCTCTTCTTCAATTTCGTTTTTTTCTAGTTATTGTAGAACCTAGATACCTAAATTTATCTACCTGTTCAAACATATTAACATCTATATCGATATCATCAGTAGTATCGCCACTTTTGCAGCTAACCATATATTTTGTTTTATCCACGTTTATTTCGAGTACTAGTTCATTACCTGCTTTCATTAAAGTTGTCGTATTTAGTTTTATGGTTTCAACGTCTTCGATAAACAGTACCAGATCATCAGCATAGCCCAGCACGGATGTAGTCCCACCCAGATCCAACCCTTTCTCGGTTCGCATTACCTCCCTAATGGCATGTTCTAATACCAAATTGAACAGGACAGGCGAAAGGGAACCCCCCTGTTTTAAACCCGAACGAACCTCAAATTTTTCCGACAGATTATTACCGATTCTAACTTTATTGAGTGTCTCTGTCAAGCACATCCTGACTAGATTTACTAGTTTTTTTGGAATCCACTGCTCGATTAGAATATTATACAGTTTCTGACGGTCAATAGAATCATAAGCCTTTTTAAAATCTATATACAGCTGGTGAACAATACCGTTATAGTCCAATTTTTTCTCTAATATTTGCCGTAAAGAAAATATTTGATCAATAGTCGAACGATTCCGTCTAAATCCGCATTGGTAGTCTCCAATAATTTCCTTAGCGTATTCCGTGATTCGACTGGTTAAGATTAAAGTGAATATTTTATAACATACCGGAAGGACTGAAATTCCTCGATAGTTATTACAATCAGTCCTCGGACCCTTTTTGTGAATCGGAATAAGAATAGATTCTTTCCATTCTTCAGGTAATTTCTCATTCACCCAGATCTTTTTAACCAACCAATGTATTTTAGAAACTCCAGCTTCCCCGCATGCCTTAATTAGTTCAGTAGGAATATTATCGGTTCCCGCTGCTTTATAAGATTTTAATTTTTCGATAGCTAATTCAACTTCCTCTTTACTCGGTCCTTCTATCAACTGTTCAGCACTCTGGTACTCAGAAGGAGGACACAGATCATAATTTCCCGTATTTAAAATATTGTCAAAGTGGTCCTTAAACTTATTCAATATGTCAACCGGATCGGTCAGAATATTGTTATTATCATCTCTAATTCCAGACATTACGGGCCCTACACATTTACGTGATCTGTTTATACCTTTGTACATGTCTCTTACAAATCGCTTTATATAAATTATTAAAAAAAATCCTCAACAAATACTCACAGTGGGCCTGATAAAATGTATGGAGTAGCTGACTGGTAAGCAAAGGCTGTGGTAATTCCCTGAGCAACTTCTTGAGTACACAGGCCAGATCGTGTGGAGCAGCCGTCGAGATGAGGTGGTCAGCGACTTCTGGTCTTCTGTAGAAGTCTCTCTCGAGCCCGGCTGCCAGCGTTTCACAGCGAGTTCTGTTCCCACCCATCCTCAGGAGTCCCTCCTCCCACAGGCACCTGCGTTCCAGCTCACTCAGCACCTGGCGGACAAGTGATATATTTAACCAACTGTTATAACTTAGTACAAATGTGCTTTTATATACAATTCAAAAACTCTCATGGTTCATATGCCATACTTTTGCAGCAATGATTAAATTTGTAGCGATATTTTTATCATTACTAAGAACTAAAATTAGGTTTTAAATAATAATAATAATAATACTTCATTTATTCTGGAACGAGTCGCTATATAATAATACAGAAATGTGGGCTAAGGAGCTTCAGAGAAATATAAATAATAATCACGATGTAAATAAACGGTTATAATAAAAATGTATCAATTACTTTGATACTTATAATTAAAAAGTTAGTGATTTGGTTGATTTAATCTACGAAAACGCTAATAATAAATAATATAAACAACTGTTTTTTTTTTTAATTTCAAAAATTTTAATGAAATAGGTTGTAAATAAAATTTGAAAAAAAAATTTAATTTTAATTCTAATTAAAAAAATCTGGTGCACGCAACATACAACTTTCACTTACTGCAATACTTTGAATAGAAATTATTTTCTGGCAATTATACAATTTTTTATATGCATTTTAAACAGAGCTATAGCTTAAAGCTTAAGCCATGAAATAATACCATAATTAAGGCCATTAAAATTACAAAAAGTATATTTATTATATCGACGGCAGGCAATAAAAATCTAGTTTCTTCATCTGCTTTTATTAACCACATAACTTCCATCTCTGAGCCTTTCAATTGACAGAATGATTAACTCCAATTTCAACATTTTTGAGTAATGCCATTTCAGTGATATTTCTAGTTTGAAAAATTATATCCAAAAAGACAGTGAATTGATTCCAGAGTAGGTGAATTGATTGCAGTGTTGGAATATAGAACTTTGAATAAAGGTATAAATTTTGCGACAAGAAACATCACTAAAATTAATAATAAAGAATGTTGAAATTGGAGTAAGTCATTCTGTCAACCGAAAGGCCTAGAGAAATTTAAAAGCACATCTGAATATTTAATCCATAAATGACTTTGGATTGTAGTACTAAACTGTTATTTTCCATTGTAAAGTTTACTGGATAGGATATAAGTTGTCACACTAATTGTAAGTGCATAATGTTGGGATTTCACAAAGTATTCATCAAATTATTCACTAATTTAATTTTCTAAAAGGTTACTTGATGATTTTTTGGAATAGATGGTCAATAGATAACTAATTATTATATGTAATATCATATCTAGAGCTCTTAAACTGTGGTAAATGTATTAAAGGTTATAAACATATCCATAAAATATTATATTTCAGTTCTTCTTTCACACAAGTACAATGAAATAGTAGTTTAAACAATGACACTGGCTTAATTTGGTGGATTTTAAATGCTTTTTTAGAAGTATTTAGATTAAAGACAAGAAAATTTCATTTAATTTCCTTCGGAAACATGTGATTTAGATTAAATAATGTTAGTTTTTGGAAATTATTATTTATATTTTTTTCTCACCCTCTATTACCTTCTACAACTTTATTTATTTGATATTATTTTTTCTGAAATTCTCTGCTTTCCAACGATATATTATGTGTATACGTTCTGACTGTTATTTTTGGAGATTCATTTTCAATCTAGATAAGCATTTTTCTATTTTTCTTCAGTTTCCAATTATCATATTCTTTCAAACTTCATATTTAGCCATTTTTTATAGTTATTGTCAATAAAAGAGAGTTTATTTTTTAAAATAATCCATATTAAATGTACTTTAGAGGAAGAAGTATATGAACATTGGGCATTTAAGATCTTTAAAGTGACGTCAAAGGGGATAAGACTTGAATGGTATTAGAAACCACTTAATTATACAAAGATAGACCGAGTTTAATCAAAATCGTTAAGAGCCGTTTTTGAGAAAATTGTAAGATTGTGTTTCACGGTTGATATAAAGTGGCACTTCCGGTTAGCCGATTTTAACGTAAAAGTTTCTTCCACATCAGAACTATATAAACACCTTAAATACCCAATTTCAATTTCATATGACTTTTGTTTTTTGAGCTACGCTGTTCATATACACACAGACCATTTTGTGGGCTTTAGTTATTTGGACTCAAAACGTGTATTTCCATTGAAAACTCAGATTAAAAAATTTTCATGTTCACAATACTTTCCCTTACTATAAATGACATATATAGGTAAGTGAAAGTAATAACATAACTTTTACCAGGGGACTATTTTTAGCAACAAAAAAAAATTAAAAATATAAGTTTCATTCAAATTTTGTTACTTAAAATGGTTTATGAATCTTATAATTAACCTATTCCCAAAATAAGAGGGAAAAATATCAATTAATTAGTTTAAAAATACTGAAAATACAAGCCTTTTGAAAGACTAGAGGTACATTGTGAGGTTCTTGGACTATTTGCCTGTCTCTTTCGAGTAAAGTTGAAAGTGATACACCAAATATGTTGCCATCTGTAAGAAAATAAAAATAAAGTAATAATAATAACAAAAATTAATTGTTTAAAAAAAAAATTTGAGAAATCGACCAAACCTTCTTTACGTTTCCTTTTGGGTGGCTTCGTTTTGCCAACCCTGAGACCGGAGTGGTCCATGAGTGCAGTGAACTCGAGGAAGACTAAAGGCTTCAATGTATTGAGGTCCTCCTCGGCTAAGAAGTCCACCCAAGTCCTTCCTGTCCCTTCTTCCCAATCTCGTTTCATTTCCTATGATGAACCAAATAAACATTTGTGCAATAATAAATTATTATAATAAATCATAAGGATTGATTGGTTAAATCTTAATACCGTAAACATGAAAAATTAGCATAATGTGTAAAATAATAACTAATAATTATTGTAAAATTTGTGATAAACAATATTTACATTTAAACTGGAACATAGCCTTTCCCCGGCCCACATTTCTTCAAAGCCGAGAGTGTCAGAGTGTGCGCTGTCACCGCTGTCTCTTCTTGAGCTGTCTGAAAATAGGCCTTCATCGGAACGGGTGACACATACCACCGGGCTGAAAAATAAAATTGACTTTTTAACACTTACAATTATATAATTAATCTGTTAACCCAATAAATAGTTATATAAATATATAGTCCTATTTTTAATAAATAACTTATAATCTTTATTTAAACGTTGGTCTGTTCTGTGATTACCTATTGGTTGCCACTACCATGTCCATGCATTATAACTAAAGGATGCACGTTTGATGACAGATAATTTAAGCAGAACAATTGACTATGAAACAGATTCAAAATGGATAAGTATAGCACACTTTATTTTAAAAATTACTAGGTGGTACTCTCTGTCAACTTGCCAATTCAAACCCACATTTTACAAATTATACAACTATACATTTGATTGTACTACTCGTTACTCAAATTTTATAACTGTAATTTGCATATAGTAGTTTAGATTGTATTATTTTTTAACAACATAAAATAAGCGGAACGAATCCATTATGTGGGAGAGAACCCTAGAATGAATTCATATCATGGCAATACTGCCTAGTGGTAACACTGCTTAGGAGGGATAACAGTATAGATGTAGCATGGACGATAAACAAAATATTTTGTTTGTAAATAGTGTACATTGTATTAGTCTGCTTTTATTGTAAATATTGTGTTTAGTGTTTGATTTAAATGTTTGTTTATATTCTTTGATTAGTGTATTAAATTTATTGGAACAATAAATTCTTAGTTCTTGTAGTCAGAGTGATTCTTGTACTGAGTCAAAGTAATTATTTTATCTTGGCACCACCTTATACACAATTCGGAAAATTTTTTAATTTCTTTAAAAATCTTCATTATAAATCATGCCCCATTGCCCATTTATTTTATTATATAATTGTAATTATTCTTTTTGCCAATCTATAATTCTTGAAGAAATAATTCTGGGAATAAGAATTGTGGTGTCTTCGTAACAGTCCGTCCTGCTGATGTCTTTGTTACGGTCTGTCCTGCAGGTGTCTTTGTTACAGCTTGTTCTGTTTTATTTATATACAATGAAATATAACAGTCACTGAAAACTTTTATAGAATGGAGAAATATTTATGATAAAAATGTGTATTAATCTCAATGCAAGATGTTTTATTACAGTTTATATGTATTCAAACAGTTCTTTCAGATGATATTCAACAAATATCGTTGAGCTCAGAGCCTACTTACTGCTGATTGTCTTGGCCGATGTTACTGATGTTGATCGGGTCACTGCCGAACCTCACACGGACACTCCCGATCCTCTGGTAACCTGTCATTCTAATGCCGTCCGCTGTCAACATAATATTCATGATGAGTATTTATTTAAACATAAAAAATTAAAACTAGAATAATTATAATGATACCTTCATAAGAGGAAATACAGGAGAGAGGATAAGAAACCATCCTAGGGGTGCTCTGGTAATACATAATTCCAACATTTAATAAAATTTTCCATTTGAATAATAGATAATCTCAAAATTCATAATTTTACGATTATTCATAACATAATTAAAATTAATCAAATTTGAGATAATTTCTGAGCAATATTTTATTTAGTCAACACAAATAACACCCAAAATGGTTAAAGTTGCATTAAATTACTGCTATTATATTTTAAGAGTGATGCACAAATTTATTAGCAAAGCACACAGCAATGCTATGGCAAAATAAATTAAATTTTACTTTATTTCCGAGAATCACTGCTTCAGAGCAACAGGCATTTTTTTATTTCGAGCCATTTTGCAGTTGTAACAAAATTGTAATTTTTATGAAGAAATTTGATCAAACAATTAATGTTTAACAGACTTCCAAAATCTTTTAAAACCTACTTGTTATTTTATTACTTTAAAAGATAAACATAATCAGTGATTTTATCAATGTATATGATAATTTACCGCCTTGATGCTTGTTGTTATGTGTTCAATAGATGATAAAAACATTTGCCAAGTAAGGTCAGTATAGCTTCCTCACCGTTTTCATTTGCTAAAAAATATCTATATTACAAGGTCTAAAATTTTTTGTATGAGAATAAAATCTTTGAAAGAAGATGTTTTCGGAAATTCAGTAATTCCTCAACATATACAGGGCTTAATATTCACAAGTTTTGTTTATCAGCAAATACTAAAATGCGAAAGAGCTTCTTGCATATTGAAGAGCAGATTGCATATTTGCTACTTTTAGTGCAAATGGTTGTATGTAAAAATTGAGTGTTTTACAGGAGAGCATAAAAACTAACAATTTCTTTATGATTTATGAGTATAATTTTATATTTTATTCCAGTACATACTGAATATGCATATCGCTACTGTTAGTGCAAAAGGTTGTATTTAAAAATTGAGTGTTTTACAGAAGAGCAGTTTTTATAAAAACTAACAATTTCTTTATGATTTATTAATATCATTTTATATTTTATTGCCCTCTTTTATTTTTCATAGTAGTAGACTACTTATATCAATTGCAGACTACTTAATTTTACATACAACCTTTTGCATTAACAGTAGTGAGATATACTTAATAGGCATGTCTTCACTCTTAACATGAATTTAATGTTATAATGATTTTTATATTTATGTTATCAAAAGGAATAAAAATAAGGATAATGTTCTAGATCGTTAGCAACTAGTTTTCGACCAATGAGATTCGAATGGTTTCAGGGACCTAGAACCTTCCATTTTCCAGTAATCCTCAAAATTAGAGCAATTAATTCAGATTACTACAATTGCACAGTATTGTATCTATAATAGTAAACATTAATATTATAACATTTAACATTAATTATGAAAGCAGCAAAACTTAAAAATTATAATTAAATAGAGATAATACCAATGTCCCATGTCATCTCTTAAGATTGTTAAAGATAGAAGCAATAAAGGAATGGCAAAATAGATACAAAACTGGGAATCACAAACAAAATGGAGGTACCATTATCAAGTACAGACAAATGTGAGTCTTGTCGCATGGTTTGCTCTGAATTGGAGACTCAAGCGAGAAAACATAGTGCAAAGTACAAACAGTAATGCTGCGGACTAATCACGAGTGAAAAAGAAGTTTCTTAACATTATGAAAAATGATAAGGACGAAAATGAAAGATGACGTCACTGTTCAGGGCACCAAATGTCTAAGGCCAGCACTGGTCACTTGTATAAATAAATAAATAAATAAAATAAGTTAAATAGAGACTATAAACTCATTACCTGTCTCAGAAGCTACGTCACCACCAGACCGGCTGGCCCTCCTGAACAGAGAATGGTGTGAAGAGAATGGAGTATGAGGCGACACCAATCTCTGCCTTGATTCATGGCGGTTGACTGCTCCCGGTGTGAGCCTCCTAAAACCATATCAACTATGAAAACAATTTGGAATGGGTCATAGGATCATATACAATTGCATCATGAAATAACGTTGTAAAGTTTTTAAAACAGCTCATGTATGAACCTACTTCAGATGGAAACACATGAGTAGATTCATTTGAAAACATCAAGAAACATTAATGACTATTTCTGAGCTAAGAATCATTATGATTTTTTCCATTTAAGAGTATTTGTTTTGGTTTTAAACAAGGATTAAATGTGTAAACAAGAGTTAACAAGTTTTGAAAACAACATGTCTCTTCTTTTTTTTTCATGCTTCTTTGAAACATAATTTTATTCCAAACAAACTTAAACAATTTATTACACTTGAATACAAGCCTGTAAACATTTATTTTCATTTAACTATGTTTCAAAAATAATTTTTATGAAAGAAAATATTATTTTCAGGATCTCATATGATTCATTATCACTTTATATTTCATACAATATGCTTGACCATATGAATCATTCAAGGTTGTTGGTATTATTTTTTTAAATACCTTTCCTTAAAGATCCTATGGGAGAAATAACAATAATATTTATTACTTATCACTGCAATGAATTTATAATACCTTAAATGATTATGCCTTGTGCATCTAACACTCAATGAAGAAATAAGTATGCAATTCATTTTTAATAGTGACGGTGACAAAAACATTGAAAAATGAAATAATTTTATGATTAACAACCTTATTCAGGTTATTCATTTTTTTGTTGTCAAATTTTTATTTTATTATTATATTTAATCAATATATGATTAAGATTATAAACTTTATTCATAAACTTAATCATATATTGATTAAATATAATTGAAATTATTTTGTTCTATTAATCCACACATGTATCTTTTCTGGTACTAGATTCATAATATATGATTACATTTAATTAAGAAAAATGAAATTTAACAATACCAGTATGTTACATAAAACATAAAATTATACTTAGTAAATGCAAACAAATGTTTTGTTTTTTGTTGTTCATTTTCTAACTAGTCTTCTAATATTTAAACAAATTATTTTACATATTTATTAAAATTAATTCCTTATATAATGATTGTATTTTAGTAGATCATGATATTTGTTTTGGCGACCTGCACCATATTCATCTCTATAATATAACACATTTCAATCAATAAATTTAACTATTAACAGTGTATATTACATAATTTAAAAAAAAAATTGTCATACAATTATTTTCATTCTCATAATGTACCTTATTCTCTTATTTTTCTATTTAAAGCCATAGTAGATTGGAACAGTGTTTGTTCTTCATCTCATATTTTGCCTAGATTTTTTTAAAAATTAAACTTGGTTGATAATTAAGTAAATTGAAATAAAATAAATTTTATTTATCGACTTATTCAGAGAAGAGCTCCTCTTTGTCCCACTTCATTTTACTGAATGCTGAACAATTACTGTCAGCACCATCTATATTGGATAAATTTACCAACTAAAAATTACCCAAGTTCTAATTTTTTTCCCTATTTAAAAAAAGAATATATTTTATGGGTGGCTATTATATGCAAGTAATGTTGTGGTATATGAGCCACTTCCTGCATTGAATTCGTAGTAGAGATCCCCCTGTATTTACTCCTTTATGTGACATTGGGTGAGGAAATAAGAAAGAATATATATCAATGTGAGGTTGCACGATAAATTGTACTCAATTATGCAGTGGACAAATTATTCATGGCAAAGTCTCATATGATAAACAATCGATGAAGGATGCTGGAAAAAGGTCAGAGCAGGTAACTAGTAACAGCTGGCAGAAGGAGGCCGAGAAGAGCACTTGAGGCCTGGATACGAAGACGAGACAACGTTACCTGAGAAGAGAAGCCTACTACATTGAAGACCAAGAATATCAAGTTTTGTTATCAGTTGTTAAAATAAATTGTTTTGTTAGACAGGGGTGAATAGTCCTTTTATTTAGTTGTCCCGTAGGCCTCACAATAGAAGAATAATAAATAAGGTGAGTCAATTCATTCAAAGTGTATTTACTAAGTCCGACATTGCAGATATATATATTTTTGTGGTTAGAAAAGGCAGTGGTTATTTTCAAATTAGGTTTTAAGTTACTTTTGTGATTATATTCCTCAAGTTTTTACATCAGTTGATGTCATACCTATATATGATTTTTCGCAGTTTTTACAAGGTATGTTATAAACTAACTTTCTATGGTTCTGAATAGGTGTGGGGTCTTTTGTCTTTGTTAGTAAATTTTGTATTTGGTGCCTGGGTTTGATAGCGATAAATAAATATTATAAGAAAAATTTAAAATAAATAAAATTTTAACATTCTATTTTAAAAATTTATTTATTTATTATAACTTTTAGAAGGGAAAAACGACATTCAATGAAATAAAAGAATGGCATTAATTTTAACCAAAATGCTATTTTATAAAAATAAAAAAAATAAATAAAAAATAGGATTTGGATTATTTATATGACTGATTGTTATTGTATGTTTTATAATGATGTAGTTTGAAGAATAACAACTGAATTATAATTAGTTTGCAGGATCTTGAAAATGGCTCCTGAAGCTGAAACGTCGAATAAATAATACATGATTTAAAAACTGTATACATTTGGTGACCTTTGGCATAATATTTTACAAAAAACTATTTTTTAATATATTGAAAATGTGTTGCTTAATATCTTTCATATATATATATATATATATATATAAATATATATCATCTGTAATCCGGATTGCTTTATTGATTAAATTATTACCTACATTGATAATTTGTGTTTTGGGGTAGTTAGAATAAAAGTTGAGAATATTTTATGCAGTTATGGTTTTCCAGTACCAATTAGTACATAATTTCTGTTTTTGTCTATCTATTGTCATGTTTAGATAATTCATGCTGTTATTTTTCTATTTTGTGTGTAAATTCTATTTTTGGATGGGTAGAATTAAACTCAATAGGTTGTCGATATATTTTACTATTAATAATGACTTTATATTCAATTGTTTCAAAGCTATTTCGAGTATGTGGTTGAGGATTATACCTGATAGATTGACAGAAAGACAATCGCCCATTTGAAAATTTGGTGACCGAAAATTTGTTTGTAGGTCTATTTTTGAAAAGAAAAATATTCATTTTCGGTAAAAAGTCTGATTCCTTCTAGAAAGATCATCCTGCTTTTTATTGGGGTGTGTGGTTAGATCTTGTCCCAATTTTCAGAAACGAGTTCGTAGACCATTTTTTAAGGTGTGTTTGTAAATTGTGATTTTACATCATCATAGCTAAACATCAAATACTCGTCTTTTATAAAATTTAAAGAGTTTATTTTGTTTTTTAAATTGATTGAGTTTTTTTACGTCAAAATGGTTATTGCTAAAAAACTGGTTTAAGCTTGGGTTCAAGAATTTAGACATGTTTGTTTGCCCATAGCCCAGTATAGTAGCATCTACTATTGGTCGACAAGGTTCGTCTCCTTTATGTGTTTTTATCAATCCATGAATTTTTGGTATTTGGTCGTAATTATTAATTAGTTTAAGCCAAATTTTTTTTATCAATTTATTTGAATTTTTATAATTTATTAATGTATTCTGTGACCATTTTATTTAAATCTTTCTCTGGGTCATGTCTTACAGTTTTATACACATTTTTGTGATTTAATAAATCTAGCATCATCGTATTATATTGTTCTTCGAGAATAAACACTAATTTTTTTGTTTTATCAGTTTTGATTAGATATAATTCTGGATTATTTTTAAGAAATGTTTACGTACTTTTACAATCAGATTTTATCAGTTTTTTAAAATGGAGTAAGGCAACATGAATTTATGTTATTTTCTTTACTATTATTTTTTTCTTCATTAATAAAATTAAGAATGCATTTATTAATATTATTTCTGAGGGCATTCTTATGACTATCAGATGTACCAAGGTCATCGAGAATATTTTCTAAATCAGCAATTAATTCAATAAGGTTGTTGTTTTAATTTGATGGAAAGTAATTAAAAAAGTCCCTGAGACTGAGAAAATTAATAATGTTGAGCAAAATATAGTAATTAGATCAATTAATAATTCTATTTTCCTTTTACATTTTATATTTATCTAATATTTTGCTGCAATGATTTTCTATACAAAGAGGAAGCAAGGTTAGAAACAAGAGGATTCGGATGGTTATGAAGTTTATTATGGAAGGATAGGTATCTGGATTTGGCCCAAATCGGAAACATATGGAACATTGAGGTCTTTATGGATTATTTTATTTGTGACAAAGCAAGGAGCATTGAGGATTTTACGAAGGATTTTGGATTGTAAAGATTGGATTCGAGAGGTGTACAAGAAAATTACTGGATAGTTTAATGTGAACATTTAAATCCTATTATCGCTAATTAAATGTTAATACAAAATTTAACAAAGAAACTAGCTTATATATACCATGGAAATGAATTCACGAGTAAATCCTATTATTTATTATTAAAGCAGTTTGTTTATTACTATTATTTATTATTTATTTTCCATTTATTCTCCATTCCATTTTCCATTTATTTATTATTTATTCTCCAGCTGTTGCTACCTGACTGGATCTTTTTCCTTCTTCATCGATATAAGACTCTTCAATGAATAATTTGTCCACTGCACAATTGTTGAGTACAATTCATCGTGCAACCTCACATTCCTATATATTCCTTCTCATTCTCTCACACAATGGCACATAAAGGAGTAAATACAGGGGGTATCTAGTACATTGTCATGAAGAAATATGTCAAGTTCGTCACGGTGGTTATGTAGTCCATTAGCATTCCGTGGAAGGATAGCTAGAGGCTTTTCACTCATCATGAAAAATTAAATGGGGTTTCGGTCAGGATTCTGGTTAGAAGGATGATGAGAGGTTTAATGGTCTTTTGTACATCTAATAGGAAGGATGAAAGGATAGTAGTTATATCAGTTGGATGTTGGCTATTCAGTGGATTTGAGTTAGGATATTGTGGTGGATGATCTATATGCTTAGGAGTGTCAGCTGAGGGCAGGATCCGTCGTGTACGAGGGTAGTCTGCATTCGAAAGTACTTGTGATGCGGGTTTTGTCTGGACATGAGAATGGGATGGATGAGGTTGCTGTGGCAGTAGTTTGACCCGTAGGGGTAGATGATGGGGGGGAGGGAAAAGGGAATAGGTTGACGTTGAGGTTGGGACTGGGGATTGGAAGTGTGGATAGATTTGGATTTGGAGGTATGAGGCGTCTGTTGAGTCCGAAGCTGCTGATTCTTGCTTGATGAGCTAGTACTTCACAGCAATTTTTCTGGAGTTCTGATGTTCGATGGCTGTTGCTATTGAGTAGTTTTGGGTGATTCTGGGAATTGTGATGGGTTTTCAATTTTAGGTGGCTGGTTAGAACTTTTCTGATCCAGGTTTAGGCTTTTAAGAGCAATATTCTGTGATATAAGTTTAACATGGTACTTGGAAACTTTGCATCCTTTATAGCTTGCATAGTGTTGGCTGCTACAAACAGCACGTTTTGCAGGCTGATCCCGAGTTGTTGGCAAGTTTCAGAAGCGTGTGAACCGGCACATTTGACCCACCTGGCCTGATGATGGGAGTAGGTCTTCGTGTGTCCTAAGTCTTGGCACTTAGTGCATTGCACTATCACAGGTTTTTGCCTAGGCTCCTCAAATTTCACAGTTGAATATACAAGCCTTTGCGCTTGATATATTTCAATGTTGTTACTGGCAGACTCTGGATCAATAAAAATTAGCACACAAAACAAAATTAAGTACACAGAATATATGCCTGACATTGTGATCAATTTCTTCGTTTTGATAACAGAGATAGAGATGATTGAGTGTAGACCTCTCAAAACCACTCGATATGCCTTTTCATGCCTTGACTGGTAACAGTGAAAATTGGTAGTGAAGTGGTTGCTTAGTACTTTCTTAATTTTCTTTGGTGTTTGTATTGGTCTTGATGTCGTTAAATCTTGGAAAACATCAAAAATTAGTTTGTCCGATCCGATTAGCAACTTCTTGAACAAATGAGAAAAATTATCAATTTTAGAAACAAAAATCGGTAGCGGTTTGAGTTCAGAAAATTCATGAGGCTCTGGAGACTTTTTTGAAGGGTTATTTGTGGGGGCAGAATTATTGCTAGTTGTGCTGCTTTGTGGAGTTGGTTCTGGTTTTGTGGCCTTTGATTTACTTCTGGTTAGAGGTGATGACTTATTTTGTTCAGTTGACTCTTATGATTCAATCGATTTATTGTGTTCATTTGATTGTTTGGGTTTAGTCAATTTATTTATTTTTTTGTTAGGTAATAACTCTTCCCCCCCTTCTTAGACTCAGGGGCAGAGTTTCGGTGGCGTTTCTGAAGTGTACGCCTTTTTAAATATTGTGAGTCAGTTTCGCCAACTTCAGAAAAGGGCGCCTCTTGAATCCTCGTTTGAAGAGTTCTTATCCATATTCATGTTGTCCATCTTTATGAAGATGAGAAAAAACAAATAAATAAATATATATATATATATATACCTAAATAAAACAATTAGAGAGATGAAAAATTATGAAATAAAATCTTAAAAAAATAAACTATATACATATTTACAAACAGAAATAAAATAAAATATTTCTAGAAATAAACAAACAATTAAAGATAAAAATAAAACAGGCACTAGAAAAAAAAAATGTTATATGTGACTGTGGATTCGAACTGAGGCCCAGTAGACGATTCTATTCATTAAGGATGTTAGTAAACAGAGTCCTTGAACCGTGAATCCAAGTAAAATAAAACCCACTAGGAAATTGCTGGCCGCTTGCACTAAACTGAGCACCAAGTTATTACTCGTTCAGTGTTATTTGATAGTAACTCACCTTATAAATCCGTGGACGTAAAAATGAACAATTGTTTATAAAGTCCACTGTTGAATAAGTCTCACACCAGAACTTGATGTAATAATCACATTGGAAAGTAACAAACACTGAGCGACGTAAAAGCTATACTGCAGTTGCAGCCATGACACTCGCTACTCCTCAAAATTTTAAAAATACTTTTACAAAATTATAGTTATTAATAAACTCACGGATGGTCGATGTTCAACTGCAATGATTGCGGCTGAGGATTGTACAGTTCTCGAGGAGGACTCGGTGGAGTTGGGGGTCCGGAGTCGAGCGAGTCCGGTGTAGCGCTTCTCGACCGAGAGTCATTGCTCCAACTCTACAGAATAGGAGTCATTAGGTCATATATAATAGAATTTATAGATATATATTTTCTGTTAAAGAACACTGTTATCATGTTACATCAAACTTGCCCTCTGACAAGTTGCTGCGCCAATGTCCATTTTTGTACATAACGTTATTGCTATCAGTTACTTGATATGATAATTACAAGATGAAATAGTAGTTAATATAAAATTGCACTAATTTTATTTACCTCAACATCCTTGAAGAGCTGCCTGATGTCACCCCTCTGCCTGGCCCTCGCTCGCTGGCGGACAGTCTTGTTGAGGGAGTCGACCCTCCTCCTGACAGCCGCTGCCTGCTGGCGCGACAGTAGCCTGAGGGCCCTCGTCAGCTCTGCCTCTGGGACTTCCCTGCCCGAGAGGAAGGCAGGCTCCGTCACCTCTGATAGCCCGGCCTCCGCCAGCCAGTCCCGCTCGTCACTGCACTCTCCATCTGAAAGGGGAGGGGATTGGTTAGCAAGCGTGACTTAGTCTATATTCGATATTTAATGGTTGACCATTTGTTTAATGAAGAAACATGTTGTTGGTTTGGCGGTCATAAAGTAAGTTCAAACACTAGTTAACGATTTTATATATAAGAATATTAATCGTAATTATACAATGTAAGAATGTTAATTTTTTTTTGCTGTTTTTTAACGTCGCATCGACTGCCAAGATCATTTAATGTTAATTGTTATTTATAAATTATTTTTACAGTTAGAACATTACTGGTACTGCTACAGACGGAGAGAACTAGTCCGGCAAGTGGACCTAGTGTGGTCCTCTTGGCCAAACCCTGACGGCTACCACTGAGGTTGCTGCCGCATATTTGCCAGAGTGAGAAAGTCATGATCCGTTCTTCGGGGGCGCTGAGAAATGAAAAGAAATCGATCAAGGTGGGAACCGAACCCACAAAAGTTCAGAACCGGGCACTCTGGGACCCATGCCCCAACGTGCTCGGCCATGCCGTCCTTCTGTAAGAACATTAAGTTTTATATATTAATGTTTTTAATGCAGTTTCTATTTTCTATGTTAAAAGTGTATTCAATCTTATTTCTCATTCATCTTAGCTTATAACTTTTACACTTTCTACAGTTTGTGTAAGAATCTTATTCATTTTAGACCAGATGAAGACCTGAGTAGTTGGGTTTAAACGTAAATAGTTGGTATAATAAATAGTTTCTACATTAAAGGTTATCACATGACCTCCATGCAGCGGCGGATCCAGGAATTTTCTCAGGGGAGGGGCCGCCGCTTTCCCCATCCCTACCTGTTTCCCCACCACTACCCATCTTCCCCCACTCCTTAGCTGAGTTTCACCGCTCAAAAGTTCTCTTTAAATGATTTAACAAAAGCAAACTCTATTTTTATTTAAAGTAAACTTTGTCTAATTTCCAGTGAAGTAATCGTTAATTACTTAAATTGCATAGTTTTTTAGTTATCACTTCCTATTCACCGAAAATCATGACTTGCTTAAAAGTTACAAACTTTAATTTCCTACTTTCCTGCTGAAAATCGAACCTTTGTTTGCATAATATTTTTTTGTATTTCTTGAGTTCTGCTATCACTCATTTTAATATTTACCTCTACTGATGGGACATTCTGTACACAGGGTTTAGACAAGTAAAAAAAAAAAAAAAATTGCTAACACGAGTAACCAAGAGAAAACTATTTATAGCCAAAAAATCCAGATTTATCTGTTTTTTTTTTTCATCTATTACTATTAAAAAAATAAAAATAAACCTTTACCACTAACGACCCATGGGGTTGTAACAAGGGTATGGGTTCAATACAATGTGAGAAAGTAAAGTACTGTTACAAGGCCAACGGTACTACTATTGAATATGCATCAAAGCGAAAAACGTATTCTTTAAGAAATTAAATTGTTCATCAACGAATACCTAAACTTAATAATTTGATTAAGTAATATTGTTGGTAACTATGGTCAATGAACGCTAATTTTTACCATCATTGTCAAATCTGAAACAGATAACTATAAATGGCCCTGCAGGTTGGAAATGAGTTCTCTGCAAAGGAAAATTCAGAATAATTTCCGATTCCGATCATAATCAGATTCTGATCAAATCGGAGACCAAATAATTGGTACCTTCCTTTATGAAAACGTTTCCAGCAGCAACTATTTTAAGAATAGAACAAGACTTTCTAATGAGAAATGTACAAATAATTATCGTGACCAGTTTTATGAGTCTCATACATTCTTCAAGGAGGCTATAGTTGCTGGAGGTTGCAATGCGTCCAGATCTATTGGAACTGAATAAAAACTGGATCAGGGAGAAAAACTGTATTTTATAGTGCTGGAATAAAAGCTTGTTCGAAAAAATAAATAAAGTTTTTTTAAAATTAACTTTCCTTCATTATGTATTATACAGTTCGGAGTCAGTAGGAAATAACTACGACCGTAGGACCAGCCTTCGCATATCACGATGGCCAAAAAACTACATCACTTCAACCTACGAGCCAAATTTTGCTCTTACATTCTATTCTTGGTGTCACAAAATCTCGCCGTGAGCCACAGCCGTGAGATGACGTAATATAACAAACCGTAAGATTAATAAAAATGGTTACTATAATAACTTCTTTTTATATATTACATTAGGAAATTCGCCTATGAGGATGAATTTTCCCTACATTTCTCTTTTCTTTAATTATGAGGATGAATATTCCCTATAATTTTCTTTTCTTTAAATATGTGTTTTTGTAACTTTTTTCCACCTAACAGGGGGGGGGGGAGAGGAGGGCGCTCCCCACTCCTGTCCTCGGCTGGATCGGTTACTGGCTCCATATCTGACCATTTTTTCTCATTATTTAGTTTCATCAAAGAATATATTTATTTTATAATGAACCACATACATATAATTACAATATTAGCCAAAATTTATCTACTCTTAAATACCAATTCGATTGATTTTTCTATGTCTTGAGGATACTGATATGGAAATAAGGAACATGTTTGATTATTAATTATTAATAATAGTAGATAGATAGATTTAATCTAATTAATTTGATAAATAAATATTTAAAAACATACAATAAAATAAATATTGGTCCTTTTTGGCAAGTGTCACCTGTAATGAAATACTGAGAAGTATCTTGTTAAAAATAAAAGATTAGACTAAATTTACAGGCAAAACTTGAGAATTGACATTAAAAATGTCCATAACCTATCCAAAAAGACAATCTTGAGAAAGCGTGGCAATTGTTTCTGAAATAATATTTTTGAAAAGAGAAAGCGTAAGGAAATAGGTTAAGGGATATGATAAGAAGGAAGCTAGTCGAGTGAAGAAGCCTGAAGCAAGAATATCACTCTAGAGCGGTAACAGGCGAAGGGAGCAACAAGAACAGCAAAAGCTCGAGTGCCTTGGAGTTAGACCAACATTATAACATCTTAAGTCACCTCTGAGGTCATTCATGGAATTATTATGCCAAGTTTAACAATTTATAAAAAAAAGTCTGCCAAGTAAAGTCAGTATAGCTACCTCATCGTTCTCATTGGCCAAAATATATCTATATTACAAGGTATACAATTTTTCGTTTGAAAATAAAATCTATGAGAGAAGCCGATTCGGAAATACAGTTACCCTTCAACATTCGCGGGTTTGATATCCAATAATTTCGTTCATTAGCTAATATTAAAATGTGAAAGAGGGCCGTATTTGAAGATTCCATATTGGTTATTCTGGATTTTAAAAAAAATATCAATGCATACTGAACATGCATTTCACTACAGATAGTGAAAAATATGGTTGAAGTTCACTTAACTTCGATATTTAAGGAGGAGATCGAGACCAAGACAAACTGGTTGAACTTCAATGGAAATAAAAACAATCAAATAAGACTTTTTTTTTTTATAAATTGAGAGTAAAAATTACTTTAAATTTACAGAAAATTACACGAAATCTAAGTGAACGACAGTAAGTGTCATGCCAGTAACGTTTAGAATAGATCAAACCATACAGTATCAATTAATTTTTTGAATAAAACCTAAAATTTTATAACCCCATAACAATATTGTAATAACCCCACTCCATATGATCAGTGCCTTCAACATTTCACAGCCATTATATTGTAAACAATTATTTATATTAATTTGAATTATTAAATGGAATTCAATGAAATTGATACTAATTAATTTCTATACTCATAATTGGTAATTGGCTGACTGTCGTGGATAATGAAGAAAAGAATAGTTGGGGTGGTCAGTCAAAAAGGAAGGCAAAAAATAAATGATAATATTTATTTTTTACATAAGCCGACGTTTCGACCTGAAGTTCAGGCCTTCATCAGGGCTGTCTCCTTAAGTTTTGCAGGGAGAAATGATAATTTCTAATTGATTTCTAATAATTTTGAAATGATAATTTCTATACTGTTCTCCAAGTTTGGGTCAAATCGAATGCGCCGTTTTCAAACTATAGGCATATCAAATAACACATTTACTGATCTAAAAGCGAAAGTATTTTTATAATAGTAGAAAGAATTTGATAAAATCGATGCCTATTTCATTTTACGTTTATCAATTGCTAAATTCCGTCCAAATTTGAGCCAAATAGAACTTGCGGTTTTAGAGATATAGACGTAACAAGGAAAACACATTTGCGCATATATAAGAGAAAGCAATGGACAGAATTCAATAAAATTGACCCCAAATTATTTGTTCACAAATACTTTTCTTTTATCTAACTTTGAGCCAAATCGAACAAGCAGTTTCTGAAATATTGGCATATCTACAAAAATGCCTTTGCTCGAGCGTCAGCGGAAATGCAGGTTAGAATTTAATAAAATTGAGATGGGACCATCTGGACACCAACCCGCACAATTCCTGAAAATTTCATGTAAATCGGATGAACCGTAGTAGGTGATATGCCCGTTACATCGATTTGACAACAGACAGACACCGAACCAAATTTGACCCTTGATGCCTGAAACGTAAAACGCGAGTGAAACTTTTCGATTCTGAGCACAAACGTTTTTTTAATCTCTCGCACGGATACAAAGCTTCCGCACCTTCGGTAATGAGGAAGCAATAAAATATGCAATACTAAAGCATAAAATATACTTTTCTCCTCTCTACAATTAACACAAGACGTTGATTTCTATTCACGCATCAAGACAAGAATAAAGGTTGAATAATGGCATAAGGAAGACCTTGACAAACATCGTTTGTTTTCCGATTCATGAATCTACAAGCTCCAAAGGAAGCTGTGGCACGGCGCCACCACCCATACGATACAATCATGGGATATAAATTAAGGAAAAACAAAAAAAAAAAAAAAAAAGAAAAAGGATTCAGAATGACAAGACTATTGTAGGAGTGAGTGGATGAGGCCTGGGCAGAGTGGGAGTGAATGAGGCCTGGGCAGAGTGGGAGTGGATGAGGCCTGGGCAGAGTGGGAGTGGAGGAGGCCTGGGCAGAGTGGGAGTGGATGAGGCCTGGGCAGAGGGGGAGTGAATGAGGCCTGGGCAGAGTGGGAGTGGATGAGGCCTGGGCAGAGTGGGAGTGAATGAGGCCTGGGCAGAGTGGGAGTGGATGAGGCCTGGATAGAGTGGGAGTGGATGAGGCCTGGATAGAGTGGGAGTGGATAAGGCCTGGGCAGAGTGGGAGTGGATGAGGCCTGGGCAGAGTGGGAGTGGATGAGGCCTCGGCAGAGTGGGAGTGGATGAGGCCTGGGCAGAGTGGGAGTGGATGAGGCCTGGGCAGAGTGGGAGTGGAGGAGGCCTGGGCAGAGTGGGAGTGGATGAGGCCTGGGCAGAGGGGGAGTGAATGAGGCCTGGGCAGAGTGGGAGTGGAGGAGGCCTGGGCAGAGTGGGAGTGGATGAGGCCTGGGCAGAGGGGGAGTGAATGAGGCCTGGGCAGAGTGGGAGTGGATGAGGCCTGGGCAGAGTGGGAGTGAATGAGGCCTGGGCAGAGTGGGAGTGGATGAGGCCTGGATAGAGTGGGAGTGGATGAGGCCTGGATAGAGTGGGAGTGGATAAGGCCTGGGCAGAGTGGGAGTGGATGAGGCCTGGGCAGAGTGGGAGTGGATGAGGCCTGGGCAGAGTGGGAGTGGATGAGGCCTGGATAGAGTGGGAGTGGATGAGGCCTGGATAGAGTGGGAGTGGATGAGGCCTGGGCAGAGTTGGAGTGGATGAGGCCAGGATAGAGTGGGAGTGGATGAGGCCTAGAAAGAGTGGGAGTGGATGAGGCCTGGGCAGAGTGGGAGTGGATGAGGCCTGGATAGAGTGGGAGTGGATGAGGCCTAGAAAGAGTGGGAGTGGATGAGGCCTGGGCAGAGTGGGAGTGGATGAGGCCTGGGCAGAGTGGGAGTGGATGAGGCCTGGGCAGAGTGGAAGTGGATGAGGCCTGGATAGAGTGGGAGTGGATGAGGCCTAGAAAGAGTGGGAGTGGATGAGGCCTGGGCAGAGTGGGAGTGGATGAGGCCTGGGCAGAGTGGGAGTGGTGTGGGACTGAAATATGGTCAGCAGAGCCAAGGACTGCAGAGCAACCTGTAAGCTGCTTGCTCTAAACTGTATCCTGCAAAGCACACACACATAATATATGTTAATGATAAAAAAATATATGATATATATACAGATTGTTCAGTAAGTAGACTTTAAGAGCTATAAAAAGAAAGAACTTTATCCACTGTGCTTTTATTTGTAAGTAACGTTTTTTGATACATAGAGTTTTTTAATTTGGTAGATAGAGTTTCTCATTGTTAAAACCATTTAAAATGGACTTTTGAACGGATAAACTAAGCTATGTTCTTTAAAAAAAACATGGATTATCGCTCCCTTTTTATTTTAATATCCTCCAACTATACTGCAGGTATCCCTGATATACGAATGCGAAAGTCCTGGTCAAATACAACTCAGGTCAAAACATAGGCTTTCCAATAAACTTCACTCTAACATGGATACACAGTGGCTCACCGCCAAAATGATACACCAGGATATTGATAGAAATTATTGAATAAATAAATAGTTCAATTTATATTACATTTTTCAACGCCATAGCTTTAATTTATAATTACTTTTTTATCTAAATAATAATTTATTTAATTGATGATTTGGTCTATATCTCATCAAAATGAAATCAATTATAAATTATATTGTATAGGCACTTGTATAGGTACGCAGCTTATATTGAATATAGACTGTTATATATTATGGATTGTATCCCTAGATACACTCAGTGTCGAAATGTTAGACACACTTCAAAAATTGTCATCCCTACCCTTCCATCTTTTGAAATTGTCCGTAAAACAGTATTAAAATTAGTCAGCAGTCTGCTCATATTTTAGTTCTCAAGCCAAAACTATATTAATTTTTTTTTTTTCAAATTAAAGTCAAGGCCCGTCAAAATGTTAGACACGCTCCCTGGTAAAAATAAATAAAACTCATTTTAATACTTCGTGGCCTTTCCATCACCATTTATTAATTCAAAAATTCTTTTTGGTAATGAATTGTACAATTGTTTGATTGCTTCTTGAGGTAATTGTTCCCATGAGAAGCCATTGCAGATTTCAAATCGTCGAACTGTCTTGACTCAGAGTACACCCTTGAAAGAATTCCCCAAACATTTTCGATAATGTTTAGGTCTGTCGACTGCAGGCCAGTCTAATTTGGCAATTTTTTTGCGAGTAAACCAGCATTTAATAATGTTTGCTGAATGTATTGGGGCGATATCTTGATGGAAAACTGGTGTGCCTTTAGACAATTCATTAAAAGTCAACTTTGGTTCCTCTAACAAATTTTTATGTTCAACTGGGTTTACTCTTGATGAAACACTTATTTTTTCCTAACACTAGAGGATTAAGAAAATATTAAACACCAAGTGTGTCTATCATTTTGACACTGAGTGTATAAACAAGTGTTAGGTTGGATCCCTAAGGCGGTGGACTTGGACGGTCTGACTTGGCCCGTTCCTGAGCTGAGTGCAGCTAGATGGTTACTGCAGCTGTATTGTGGTTAGTGCAGCTGTATTGTGGTTAGTGCAGCTAGGAGGTTAGTGCAGCTAGGTGGTTAGTGCAGCTTTATTGTGGTTAGTGCAGCTAGGAGGTTAGTGCAGCTTTATTGTGGTTAGTGCAGCTAGGAGGTTAGTGCAGCTAGGTGGTCAGTGCAGCTTTATTGTGGTTAGTGCAGCTTTATTGTGGTTAGTGCAGCTAGGAGGTTAGTGCAGCTTTATTGTGGTTAGTGCAGCTAGGAGGTTAGTGCAGCTAGGTGGTCAGTGCAGCTTTATTGTGGTTAGTGCAGCTCTATTGTGGTTAGTGCAGCTAGGAGGTTAGTGCAGCTTTATTGTGGTTAGTGCAGCTATATTGTGGTTAGTGCAGCTAGGAGGTTAGTGCAGCTTTATTGTGGTTAGTGCAGCTAGGAGATTAGTGCAGCTTTATTGTGGTTAGTGCAGCTAGGAGGTTAGTGCAGCTAGGTGGTTCCTGCAGCTGTATTGTGGTTAGTGCAGCTGTATTGTGGTTAGTGAATCTGTATTGTTGTGGTTAGTGCAGCTGTATTGCCCATTGCAGTTCTGCGCTGAAGAGACCTACCTCTATCGCCCATCTCGCCGCTGCCCACTTGCAGTTTGATTATGATTATGAACGCTCATGAAAAATCTAGATTTAGTCACTGCAGAAGGATTCAAGTGCCACGGTTCGTCCATTTTCTACGACTGTCACCTGCTTGCCTCCACATAACGTTGCACAACTTTTATTATTTTTGTTTTGTATAAATTTTATTTTAGGGCTATTAATATTTGTTTATTCGTCCCTATTTTTGATTTTGATTTTGGGTCAGTCATATTTCATTTCTCTAATTTCCATAGGCAAACACAATAAATATGAAAATATTTTATTAAATATTTCTTAATTCTTTTAATTATCATTATATTCATTTTATTTTTATTTCCATTTATAAAAGTTATTATTTATGTTATTTTTATTGTAATTGTAAAATTGATTTAATTTTTTCTTTTTCTATATTGTTATGTTTAATTATTGAAAAATAAATGCTTAACCCAATGTTAAGTCCATTTTTGCGAAAAAGTTGCTAGAAGTATGCAGGCATATAGCTACCCTAAGCAAGTAATACTTGAGTCTGAAAAAGTAATATCTTTTACACACATAGGCCATCCTTTTAGCAAGACTCGGCTATTTGGACTAGAGAAACCTTTAAACATGTTCGTTGAAACTAGATTTTTCATGATCCAAATACTTTCTCATGCTATGCATTTCAAGGCAAGTATATTTGAGTGAATAAAGGTGTAATGTAAATGTAGCCAGTAATCACTGATAAATATTTTCACAATAGCGTGGCCCTTATTCTGGCAACAGTTATCATGACAAGGAACTTGATAAATATTTGTAATCTTGAAAACGACAAAAAAAACAAAAAAAAAAAAACACCTGTACTCGAAGTGTAACCTTTGCAACAACCCGGGAAGGGTCTTGGGTTCAGTATTACGGTGTTTGAGGATGTACTGTCTTGGGTTCAGTACTACGAGTGAGTGAGGATGTACTGTCTTGGGTTCAGTACTACGAGTGTGTGAGGATGTACTATCTTCGGTTCAGTACTACGAGTGTGTGAGGATGTACTGTCTTGGGTTCAGTACTACGAGTGAGTGAGGATGTACTGTCTTGGGTTCAGTACTACGAGTGTGTGAGGATGTACTGTCTTGGGTTCAGTACTACGAGTGTGTAAGGATGTACTGTCTTGGATTTAGTACTACGAGTGAGTAAGGATGTACTATTTCAAGGACCAACGGTTATGCAAGGAGGTGATTTGACTAAGATTACGCTCAATCGCTAAGTTTTCTTCTTAATGAATTAATCAATTAACAAAGATTACCCACATTATAGAGACTGGGTGTGCCCCTGGACGATTTGCCGATCCCAAGATCGATCCACGGCCGATGAAACAAAATAAATAGTTCATTTATCAGCCACCAACTGAACTCGAGCCAGAGACCTTGAGCTTTGGAAGTCAGTGCCCCACTCTCTGAGCTACCCAGCTCTATGAGAACATTTTAAAAATGTATGAAACCATTGATACAAAGTTGCACTTTAGGTAAGACCATTTTTTTCGAAAAAGCAATAAGTTATAATATCCTAGGAATACAGATAACTTGAATACGTAATTTCAGTTTAGTTTTCGTTTTTATTTAAACTGTTAACATACACACACATATACCATATTTTATGCGAGAGAGACTCGAGAGTTTTTTGAGCTCAGGTTTTGGTAACCTTAAATAGTATATTTCCGTTAAAAACTTAACTTGTAAAATTTTCATGAACGCAATACTTTCCCTCACTATATAGAGTATATCATATATACGTAAATGAAATCAATATGGAAATACATATAAATCTGGTTATTTTTCATACGATTGCTTTCAAGATGACACTTGAGAAATATATGTAATTTTGAAAAATTACCTGAGTTTAAAATCTTGATAACAATATTAATGGAATTGGTTAATATAAAGAATGTAACTATATTGGCTTAGATATCGACAATACCGATAGATCGATTCTACTGATGGCGCCTGATCCGCCAAAGAAGGAAGGGCCACTTACCACTTACTGAGGTGGTAAACCCCTTACTGTCAAGGCGGATGAGGCGCCCGGATGAGGCGCTTCAACATATTATAGCGGCTCCAGGACACCTTAATAGCCATTTATATCTCAGCCCTTACAATAAGTACAATAAGCATCCTCAAGGTACTAGTTATTTCAAACAAATATCAAAGTGAAAAAAACATTTATTTATATCATACTTTCTGATTAGAACATATCACATTTTTCTTAAAATGATTTCCAAACTTGAAAATAATGACCACAAAGAAAATTGCAACTGTGTTTCATTTTGAAGCTTAAAAAGTAATTTCTTAGAAACCCCCTCCCTCCTAAAATTTATGGAGTGAAAAAGAAGGTGGGACAGTAACCCCCTTCTCCAAATGTAAAAAATGAAAATTAGCAATAAATAAGAATATACATTTATGAAAAAAATATGACACTAACAGGTTGATTTTATTTTAACAATTTGAATGAAAGTAACTACGAAAAGAGGACTATCTCTACAAATAAATAAATTAAAAAACAATATTGCCCCCTTCATTGATATTGAGGCAAATTTAGAAAACTAAAAAAAAAAAATATTACTGAGGAAAAAAAGGAAATTAATCCAAACAATATTTCTCAGGTATTGTGCTAAAAAGTAATTTGATTTTTCCTTAAAGTAATTTAATAAGTCCTCACCTGTGCCTCAGCTACGGGTTTTATTGTAGATATTTGTATTTTATTTATTTCTTAGTTTATTAATTTTTATTTCTTGAAAATATGTAGTTTCGATAGTGAAATTTTTATATCGATGTATTAATATATTTGTTGTTATAATACGTATTTTTGGATATTTTTGCAACATCATTGGTAGAATTGTCACTTGACTGAAATTAAAACAGAATTTAAATCTTCAAATGTACCAAATAAAAAAAATGGTGAAAATTGAGTTATGAT